CCACTTCTGCACCCACGAAGGACACTTGCCATCCCTTTATTGCTGAATCTAATAGACCCTCCCAAGTCCAAACCTTATTGGCATCTCTCATTCCTGAAAGACTCTCCTCTCTTGGTTTCTGTCACCTGATGCTGTCAAGAGACTCCGAGTCTCAGGGGCAGGGCGCAGGCCTGACAGCATCGTCTGAGGGATGGAGACACCGAGAGCTCAGTTTGGGCACAACCTCAGGTTGTGAGAGTCTTGGGGGCCAGAGAAAGGGTGCTAGTAAGAGAGACATGGGGCAGTGTAGGAAGAGGACAAACACAAGGACAGGGAACCAATGGCCCCTGAAAAGTCAGGCAATGGTGAATAGTAGAGTCAGACAATCTGGGGTTCAGATCTTGGCTCTGCCCTTTGGGAATGTATGTGACCTTGGGAAAGTTGTTTAATTCCCCAAACCTCAGTTCTCTTATCTCTAAAATGGGGATAATAATCACATCCACATCATGCAGTTACTGTGAGCAATTGATAAATGTCAAGCTAGGTACATGGGAGGAGCATAAGGCCCGTGGAGGGGGAGCATGTGCTACATAGAGGGAGGAGGCAGAGATGGGCTGTCAGGCCCTTAAATGACAGTGTCCCGGAGGATTGCTTGGTATTCTGGCTCCTAGAGAAGGGCCAAAGAATGGTATAAACTTCCCAAAGACAGTTGACAGGACAGTAGATCTCAAAAAAGGACAGTGAGGACGGGGAAACAGGTGAGTAGGTTTTGAGCCCTGCCTGAGTCTGAGCCCATCCAGCCACTTGAGGAAGTCATAGGAGGAAAGCAGGAAAGCCCAGATGGCATTTCATTTTATTCCTGAGCGCTGGCCCCGGCTAACGTCCCCTGTGGCAGAGATTAGAGAGGTAACACAGCCATGGGTCAGATAGCCTGAGCTCAACCTTCAATCCTGGGCCTGGGAGGAGAGGGAACTTAGTCTTGGGCTCAGCATCAGTGTTGGGGAGGAAGCTGTAAGGAACCAGGCCTGGGAGCAAACAAGTTCTCTCTCCCAAGGAGCCTGACACTTCCCAGAACCCACTCTCTAGCTATATTGGCAGAATCCACTCTGGACCCACCAAGTTCAAAACTGTTTTCCCTGGGAAGCCAGGCCCAGTAGCCAGGGAAGCTTGGGAACTTGGCAAACTGGGGAAGGGGCAAGTAGACCTTCCCTCCTCCACAAACCTGGCAAAGCCTTTTGGGGTTTGGCCCCTGGATGAACAGTCCGGCTACCCTTCCTCCTTCCCCTCAAGCTACTCTGAACTTTTAGTTCTTTCAAGTACCAACAGCTGTCAATTCAGACCTCAAGGAGCACACTGGTTCTCCTCTGGAACACTTTTCCATCCTTGTCCATTCTGTTCCTGGCTAACTCCTCCTCAGCCCTCAGGTCTCTTGGAAATCTCACCCTAACTGGGTGAGATCCCACGGCTGGGCTCCTAGAGGCTACCCCCACGCCCTGCCCCCCTTCCCTCCCATAGCACCAGTTACAGTCCAGTGTAGTTGTCACACCTATGGATTGCGCTAGCGTGTAGCACAGGACCTGACACCCAGTGGTCACTCAGGAAAATGTCTGTTGAAAGAATGAACGGCCAGTTCCATGGCTGACCTCCCAGTTCCTGTGCCCTGCACTAGGGATCCATCAGCTTCCTTCTGGCCAAGCTGCTGGGACAGGGGAGTCCTGATGAGCTGCCATGGTGGATCCCTGCTGAGCCTGGCTTGAGGGCCTCTGGAGCACTAATGGAGAGTGTCAAGGCTGGGAAAGGACCAGCTTATCATCGAGGTAGAGGTTGGAAGCTTGGATGTCTTGTGGACCATACTGCATAAGGGCCTGTGCTTTGTACAAGGGGGACAGAAGATCTTGTGACTTTGGTGTATGAGTACTTCAGCATATGGTTGGGGCTAAACTTAAATAAGTTGTCTTAGTGAGCTGAGAGACTAGAGAAATGACTTTCTAGGCTTGGGGGACACAGAATTCTGAGCTGGTCAGATAGACCCTCTAAATCTGAGGTAGCAGGTCTTCTGCCTCTCCCCTCTGCCACAAGACAGAGTATTGGGCCTTGCTAAACTTTATTATAAACTTAAGATGGCGGGCGTGGTGGCTCACGCCTGTAATCGTAGCACTGTGAGAGGACGAGGCAGGCGGATTGTTTGAGCTCAGGAGTTTGGACCAGCCTGAGCAAGAGCGAGACCCCATCTCTACTAAAAATAGAAAGAAATTAATTGGCCAACTAAAAATATATAGAAAAAATTAGCCGGGCATGGTGGCGTGTGCTGGTAGTCCCAGCTACTCGGGAGACTGAAGCAGAAGGATTGCCTAAGGAGTTTGAGGTTGCTGTGAGCTAGGCTGACGCCACAGCACTCTAGCCCAGGCAACAGAGTGAGACTCTGTCTCAAAAAAGAAAAAAAAAGAAATAAACTTTATTATAAAATTAAGAAGCTGTTATGGGCTGAATTGTGTACCCTACCCCCCAAATTAGTATTTTTTTTTTTTTTGAGACAGAGTCTTGCTCTGTCACCCTGAGTAGAGTGCAGTGGCCTCACTGTAGCTCCCTGTAACCTCAAACTCCTGGGCTCAAGTGATCCTCCTGCCTCAGCTTCCCGAGTAGTTGGGACTATAGGCACACATCACCGTGCCTGTAGTCTAATTTTTCTATTTTTAGTAGAGACGAGGTCTCACTGTTGCTCAGGCTGGTCTCAAACTCCTGAGATCAAGTGATCCTCCTGCCTCAGCCTCCAGAGTGCTAAAATTATAGGTGTGAGCCACCGCGCCCAGCCAAATTCATACTTTTAAGTCCTAATGCCAATACCTCAGAATGTGACTGTATTCAGATAGGGCTTTTAAAGAGGTAATTAAAAATGAAGCCTTTAGAGTGGGCCCTAATCCAATCTGACTGGAGTTCTTATGAGAAGAGGAGATTAGGACACACAGAGATGATCCCGGGGTACACACACTGAGAAAAAGACGACATGAAGTTAGAGAGAGGAGACCACCATGTACAAGCCAAGTAGAGAAGCCTGGGAAGAAATCAACCCTGTTGGCAACTTGTTCTTGGACTTCCAGCCTCCAGAACTGTGAGAAAAGAAATTTCTGTTGTTTACACCACACAGTCTGTGGTATTTTGTTATGGCAGCTCTAGGAAACTAATACAGAGACATTTTGCTTTATTTTCCAAATATAAAATTGCAATATTGAATGTGCCTTTTGAAGCTCTCCATGCCTCAGCCCCACTTAGCTGGGAGATTTGTCCTTTTTAGCCCACCGCTACCATACCCCCCCAGGAAACTGCTGACCTGCAGGGATAAAGGCAGACTCCCCAGCACTGCACTTAGGCCTCTCTCACCCCTCGCCCATCTAGGCTCCTAGTATTTCTCCACGTCTCAGGCTGCTTCGGGTCTCGCCTCAGTGGTTGGGAAGAACAATGTTGCAAAAGTTGGCCCTGTGGGCCTGATGAGGAATTGGGTGGAATCTCTCTGACAGGCATATGCAGGGAATGAAATGGAGATGAGGCCAAAGGTCAGGGAAGCAGCAAGGCACTGTGGCAATAATCCCAACAGAGACAGACCTAGGCCAGGGTATGAGGCCAAGATGGAGCCAAATGGACAGATATCAGAAGTGTTTGGAGATAAACAGGCATTGGGCACTCAGTAAATGTTTGTTGACTTTCCGGGTCACTCCACTCTTTCTAAAGCAGGTTCTTCTGTTTACTCTCCTGTTTGCTTCCTTTAGAGCACTTGTCACAGCCTGCAATTACCTTGTTTGTGTACTTGCCTGTTGTCTGTTTCCATCAAGCAGAATTTGAACTAAATGAAGGCTGCAGCCTTGAGCAGTCTTATTCCAGACAACACCTGGCACTTAGCAGATGCTTTTGATAAACGTTTGGGGACTGAATGGCTTAGTAATCGATTGGATGGTACAGAGGGACAGCAGGGAGGTGAGAGATCACAAGGCCATGAGGGCTGTGATTCTGGAACAAACACTTAAGAGGGATTAGGAACCCACCTCTGGGCTGGGTGCGTGGCCAGTAATCCTAGCACTCTGGGAGGCTGAAATGGGAGGATCACTTGAGCTCAGAAGTTTGAGAACAGCCTGAGCAAGAGTGAGACCCTGTCTCTACAAAAAATAGAAAAAATTAGCAGGGTGTGGTGGTGCCCACCTGTAGCCCCAGTTACTTGGGAGGCTGAGACACGAGGATCCCCCACTGCATTCTACTCAGGGCAACAGAATGAGACTCTATCTCAAAAAACAAACAAACAAAAAAACCACCTCTGTTTCTGGCCCTGGGAAAGGTGGGCATTGAGCAGGGGTCTAGGGGTGCGGATGGTCGCGGGACCAGCTGCCCAGTGGCCCATCGCTGGCATTTGAGCAATTCCCATTCTTCACTTTCTGGCCTTCTGGCTGCAGACCAAGGAAGTGGGTACTTTCACAGGAAGGGAATATGGGACCCCGCAGGAGCCGGAGATCTGTTCCTCAAGAGTGTAGAAGGCGCATGGTAAAAGCCTAGAATACCAAGCTCCGTTTGACCGCCACACTCCCCAGGGCAGCACGTGGGTCAGACTCGGGACTGTGCCATTCCCTCCAGACCCTACAGGGGGCAGCACTGGGCTGGGCCTGAGTGCTCCGGCCGAGGGCGTGGGAAGCACGCGGTCCCCAAGCTTAAAGGGGAGTGTTGGTGACACGCCCGGGCAAAAGCAAGCACCATCCCTGCCTCTCCCCTCCGGGCTGGAACGCCGATCATCTGGCTGCTGGGGAGACGTCCACAGACGTCCTGTCCCACACGACTTCAGCCCCCGCCCCGAAGGATGGGGAATGAAAGAGGCTCGGATTAGCGGGACTCTCAGTTACCAAGGAGGGCTGAGGGAGGGGACAGGGACCAGTTAGCCCCTGCGTCCCTGTCGCACCTCCACGGTGACGAGCAGTATGGCTGTCTTTAAGGTGCGGCCAGGGGGCGGGGCCTCGAAGTGCGTTGCATTAGGTAAGAGGAGGAGCGTCTGGGTGACGAAAGGCCTGGGAAGGGGCGTGGCCCCTCCGTGACTTGCCGCCAGGAAGGGGGAGGGACTCCAGTGACGCGACGCGGGGAGGGGGCAGGCGTTCATTGATAAAAACGCCGGGCTCCCTCGGGCGCGAGCGCAGCGTAGCAAATCCAGGCAGTGCCACGCGCGGCCGGGGCCGGGCGGAACCGAGAACAAGCTGGGCCCGCGCTGCGACGCGCCGCCCGCATGGAGCCCGCCGCCGGCTTCCTGTCCCCGCGCCCCTTCCCGCGAGCGGCCGCCCCGCCCGCGCCCCCCGCCGGGCCGGGACCGCCTCCGAGCGCCTTGCCGGGACCTGAGCTGGAGATGCTGGCCGTGCCGCCCGCGCCAGACCCTGGGCGCCTCATTACCGACCCGCGCAGCGGTCGCACCTACTTCAAAGGCCGCTTGTTGGGAAAGGTGGGCCGGGGCCGTCCGGGGGTGGTGCTGGCGGGGGCGGAGGGGGGCTGCCCCGCTTCTTTTCCGGCGTCGGGCCGGTTGGGGGCGCTTGACCTGAGCGCGGGGACGTCTGCGGCTCAGACCCGTCCTCCCCTGGAGCGCCCAGCCTGATGCCCCCACCTCACAGGGGGGCTTCGCCCGCTGCTACGAGGCCACTGACACAGAGACCGGCAGCGCCTACGCTGTCAAAGTCATCCCGCAGAGCCGCGTCGCCAAGCCGCATCAGCGCGAGAAGGTGGGTCCCGGCACAGCGGAGGAGGGGTGGGGTGGGGATGGTGGCGCGGGAACCCTGGGAGGATGGCAACCTCTGGTCCTCATCGCAGATCCTAAACGAGATTGAACTGCACCGAGACCTGCAGCACCGCCACATCGTGCGTTTTTCGCACCACTTTGAGGACAATGACAACATATACATTTTTCTGGAGCTCTGCAGCCGAAAGGTGAGGGATGGTGATTTGGGCAGGGATGGGGGTTGGGGAGAGAAGGGAGTCTTAAGACCCAAAGCTGGGGCCCTCAGCGGGCACAGATGGAGGGGGAGGGTCAGGGAGGGCCGACCAGGGACTGAGGCAGTGGCTCTCTGCAGTCTCTGGCCCACATCTGGAAGGCCCGGCACACCTTGTTGGAGCCCGAGGTGCGCTACTACCTGCGGCAGATCCTCTCTGGCCTCAAGTACTTGCACCAGCGGGGCATCCTGCACCGGGACCTCAAGCTGGGTGAGACTCCTGGGCCTGCAGGGTGGGGGGTTGGGGAAGGAGGGAGGAAGGACTCTGACACACCTCTCTGCCCCCATCTAGGAAACTTTTTTATTACTGAGAACATGGAACTGAAGGTGGGGGATTTTGGGCTGGCAGCCCGGTTGGAGCCCCCGGAGCAGAGGAAGAAGTGAGTGTTTGAGGAGAGGGTTGGCCACAGTCCATGCATGATGGTGTGTATGTATGAGGCAGGGTGAGCACCTGATGTGTGCACGTGATAAGTGGGGAAGGGGTGTTGGATGGTATGGGTGTGTGAGGGTGGAGGTTGCAGCCTGGGTTACTGGGATTGGTGGAGAGGGTGAGGGTCCTGTATGTGTGTGACACAGATGGGGAGGTGACCTTGAGTCCCTGATGGGGGGTGTAAGGATTCTCAGAGGTGTATGACTGACCCTGTGTGAAGGGGAAGGGGACACAGAGCGTGTGCGTGTGTGTGTGGCATATTGGAAGTATGTCAGTGGTGGGATGTGATACCCTGTGTGTGTATAAGAAGACCCTCCCTGCTGTGGCCACACTGTACTGGGTATGTGTGACATAGCATGTGTGGCAGATGAGTGTTTATGGGGGATGTGACAGCTGGTGTTGTGTGTGTGGCACAGATCGTGGGAGGTGACAGCCTGATGAGTTTCTGACAGACAAGAGTGGGGGAAGGGATCAGTGATAGACTCTCTGTTGACCCTGGAGGAGGGGGCTGTGCCGGGGGTCAGGGCCTCCCCCATCCTGAAGAGCAGCTGAGCAGCTGGGCCAGGCGGGTGGGTGGGGACTCAGCTGCCATCCCTGCATCCATTGTCCCAGGACACACAGGAACTCTCTGGCCTTTGGTGACAGGCAGCTGCTTTGTCTGGACTCATAGTGGGGGAAGGGAGAGGGGCTGCTGGGCTGGGTCTGAGCCTTCCCCCCTCCTCCTCCCTACCACCTTCCAGGACCATCTGTGGCACCCCCAACTATGTGGCTCCAGAAGTGCTGCTGAGACAGGGCCACGGCCCTGAGGCGGACGTGTGGTCACTGGGCTGTGTCATGTGAGTTCCTGGGTCCTGGGTCAGCAGCAGGAGAGCGGTGGGTGTATGGGGGCACACCCTCCACTTACTCCTGACCCCTCATCCCGCCCCACAGGTACACACTGCTCTGTGGGAGCCCCCCCTTTGAGACGGCTGACCTGAAGGAGACGTACCGCTGCATCAAGCAGGTTCACTACACGCTGCCTGCCAGCCTCTCGCTGCCTGCCCGGCAGCTCCTGGCCGCCATCCTTCGGGCCTCACCACGAGACCGCCCATCTATTGACCAGATCCTGCGCCATGACTTCTTTACCAAGGTATGTGGCTCCAGTCTGCGTATTCCCCGGGGATTGAATGGGGGCAGGTGACAGGTCCCCTGGGGCCTTAGCCTCTCTTCTCTGTTCACGGGGCTCCCTTCCTCAGGGCTACACCCCCGATCGGCTCCCTGTCAGCAGCTGTGTGACAGTACCCGACCTGACACCCCCCAACCCAGCTAAAAGTCTGTTTGCCAAAGTCACCAAGACCCTCTTCGGCAGGAAGAAGAAGAGTGAGTCTGGGGTGTCAGTGGGTGAGGGTGCAGAGCTGCAGAGTGGCTCGTTACGTGTGTTTCGGGGGCGGGGGAGCGTGGGAGCCTGTGAACTCCTGGGGAGAGTGTGTGTTATACGGGCACTTGGGAAGGCCTCTGTGTCCACCCTGTGGGTAGCAGCGGGGCTGGGCAGAATACTGAGGGCCTTGTCATGCCTCATCCCCAGGTAAGAACCATTCCGAGGAGCGGGACGAGGTCTCCTGTTTGGTGAGCGGCCTCATGCACACGTCCATTGGCCATCACGATGCCAGGCCTGAGGTGAGGTGCTCACGTGAGCACTGTTCCCCTGACTCACCCCCACCCTAGCAGCTGAGGGAAGCCCGGGATAAAAGAGGGTGGTGAAGCATCCAGCCTCGTGGTGGCCTAATTGGCTGTGTCTCATTAGCCAGGCACAGCTGACCTGGAGTGCCCTGGGAGCCAGGGCAGGGCTGGGCTGTGGACTCTCGAGGATTTGGATTTCAGGGCCTGGCTCACTCCCCTTCCCTACCCAACCCTCCAGGCTCCAACAGCTTCTGGTCCAGCCCCTGTCAGTCTGGTAGACACAGCACCTGAGGACAGCTCACCCCGTGGGACGCTGGCAAGCAGTGGAGATGGTGAGGAGCCAGGGAGGATGACAGGTGCTAGAGGTTGCTGGGGCCAGACCAAGGGCCAGAGGGAAGGAGCGGGCAGGGGACCTGGCTTGGGTTCTGGAGGCTAATGCTTAAATCTCAATGCCCTGCTCCTTTCAGGGTTCGAAGAAGGTCTCACTGTGGCCACAGTGGTGGAGTCGGCCCTCTGTGCTCTGAGAAACTGTGTGGCCTTCATGCCCCCAGGTAAGGCTGGGGTCTGGTGCATGTAAATGGTGGTGGCAGTTCTGTGGCTGGGAGGCCAGGATCAGGGCCTCACTCTCCTCTCCCATGACAGCGGAACAGAACCCGGCTCCCCTGGCCCAGCCAGAACCTCTGGTGTGGGTCAGCAAGTGGGTTGACTACTCCAACAAGTTTGGCTTTGGGTATCAACTGTCCAGCCGCCGTGTAGCTGTGCTCTTCAATGATGGCACACACATGGCCCTGTCGGCCAATAGAAAGTAAGTGTTTTATGGGTACCTGGTTCTCAGGCTATTGTACCCAGCAGGGCTGCACCTTGGTGCGTGCCCCTGGGCTCAGGGACCTGCGGTTTCTCAGGAGAGGGGTGTTGGTGCAGGGCTCCCTCTCTGACCTCTGTTTCCCCCTTCCAGGACTGTGCACTACAATCCCACCAGCACAAAGCACTTCTCCTTCTCCGTGGGTGCTGTGCCCCGGGCCCTGCAGCCTCAGCTAGGCATCCTGCGGTATTTCGCCTCCTACATGGAGCAGCACCTCATGAAGGTGTGAGGGCTGGGGTGGGACACTTTTAAGGACTAACACATCCTGACCCCTTCTGATTCCCCTTTGGTGGTAGTGGGGCTCAAAGCTAGAGGCTAAGGGAGATGTCAGTGGGGAGAGGTCTGACCAGTGACCCACCTGCCTCTGCTCCTAGGGTGGAGATCTGCCCAGTGTGGAAGAGGTAGAGATGCCTGCCCCACCCTTGCTGCTGCAGTGGGTCAAGACGGATCAGGCCCTACTCATGCTGTTTAGTGATGGTACTGTCCAGGTAAAAGCCTGTCCTGGAGTGATGGGGAAGGTCCAGGAGGCCCAGGGTGCTGGGGAGGTAACTGGGCCTGGGGCATAGGCCCTGATCACTGTCACCCTCCTGTGCACAGGTGAACTTCTACGGGGACCACACCAAGCTGATCCTCAGTGGCTGGGAGCCCCTTCTTGTGACTTTTGTGGCCCGAAATCGCAGTGCTTACACTTACCTCGCTTCTCACCTTCGGCAGCTGGGCTGCTCCCCAGACCTGCGGCAGCGACTACGCTATGCTCTGCGCCTGCTCCGTGACCGTAGCCCAACCTAGGCCTCAGCCTACAGAGCAGGCTGCAACCCAAGCCCTCAGGCCTGAGGCCTGTGCCTGTAAGGCTCTGGCCTTTGCCTTTGTGGCCCTCCCCATCCTTTTGGTGCCTCACTGGGGGCTTTGGGCTGAATCCCCCAGGGAATCAGGGACCACCTTTACTGGAGTTGGGGGTGGCCTGTCCTCTGTCGCCTACCCTCTCCAAGATAAGCCTGAGCCTTAGCTCCCAGCTAGGGGGCGTTATTTATGGACCACTTTTATTTATTGTCAGACATTTATTTATTGGGATGTGATCCCCAGGGGGACCTCCTCCTGGGTTAATAAACCGTTTTGCAGAATTGGAGGCCTGCTCATTCACAGTAGAGCCCATGGACCGTGGCCACTGCGAAGAGCGAGGCATTAGTGTAGGTGGCCGAGGCCAGCCCGTCTGTCGCTGCGTCCCAGAGGGCACGGCTGACCACCTGCACGCCCTGGCCGGCACGCGGCCCCAGCACCACACTGCACACCAGCTTGTAGCGCGGCGGGCTGAGCTCGCGCAGGCGCACGTGTATCTGCTCGCAGAGCTCCCGTGCCAGCCGACCGGCCTCGGCGCCTGAGTAGCACGTGTCGCACAGCTCCGCGGCTAGCGCCGCCTCCAGGGCACGCTGTGCGCGCACAGCCTCCCAGCGCTCCGCAGGCGCCGGCTCCGTGCAATACGAGGGCGCCACCCGACGGGCGGGCGCCAGGGGCAACCCAGAGAAACTGACCCGCGAGGCTAGAGGGGGCACAGGGCCCAGGGATGGTCGCCGACCCCCTGGGCCCACGCCTGGACCGGCCAGCGAGTTGCGGCGGGAGAAGGAGGCAGCCAGACCCAGCACGGAGCCACGGCGGGAGGCCGGGCCCAGACCTGTGGGTCGGACCTCATCAATGCTGGGCAGGCGGCCTCGGGGACGCATTGGTGGTAGTTTCGGCCCAGAGTCTTTGGCAGTCTCCTCCTCCTGGCGTCCGGGGGGCAGAGGCCTGCCAGCCATGGACCTGCCGGCTGGAAGACCCACATTTAGCGAGGGTGTCTTCGCTGGCCGTCTCCTACCCTACCCAGTCTCTTGGTCCGTGATGTCAAGGGTTATTACCCGCTACCCCCTTCTTACCTGTGTTTTGGGAACGAGTGTATCAAATAGTCCGAGGCTGCCTGGGTTCCTAGGTGCTTAGAAGGCTAACAGCTGTTAGGAACATAAGCAGGGGAAGGGATGCCGCTCAGACTGTGGTCCTGAGTTAGTCCCTGCCACAGTTAGTCCCTGCCACAGTTGAGCTCCACTTTCTCTCGGGCACTGGTTCGCTAGGTGAGCTCTACACTTCCTTTTCCCCCTTCCACCTGACTTCACCAGTAGGAGGGGAGATGTAGCTGGCTTCTGCCTCAGCCTGGACTATGGAAGTGGTACCCCAACTGCTAACCATTAGGGATGGACAGATCTAACTTTTTCAGTCCCACGGATCCTTCTATCCCTAGGGTATTGCATCCAGTCATCTTCCCCCCTAATCTGCTCCTAGGTGGCTGGCACAAAGATCTCCCCCTCAACTGGCTGAGGCTGGAGGCAGGTGACTCATGAAGCTCCTTCTGCCTTCTGCTTTTGGCTCCTGACCCCACCTCTCCAGACTCAGCCGTGGGATGGTTGCCCTCTTCTCCTGAAACTCCCTCAGGCACCTGAGTCATCTGCAACCTTTGGCCTTCGATCTCTCTCCCGGCTGGCTCCTCAGCCCTTGCCTAGCTGGCCTGGCAGTGGGAAGGGAAGGGCCTGTGTTGTGGGGTTGCCATGGGTTGCTGGGGCAAGTACTCCTCCTTCCTAGGGTCCCTCCCTGCAGTCCAGCTAGGGCTTAACCTGAGAGTGTTACTACTGTGAGCATGTGCTGAGCATGGGGTGCCCCTGAGTCATCTCAGAGAGGGGAGCAACAGAGGCTTGGAGCTCAGGGGCATAATGCCACAGGGGTATGAGAGGCTCTGAACAGAAAGGTGTCCTCCTGGCTGGGCTTGCTGGCTCATACTTGTAGTCCTGGGACAATGGGAGGGGCAGGGAGATTGCTTGAGCCTAGGAGTTTGAGGTTTCAGTGAGCTGTGACAATGCCACTGCAGTCCAGCCTGGGTGACATAGTGAGACCCTGTCAAAAAAAAAAAGAAAGGCATTCTACCCTAGGGCTTTTGAGCCAATGTCCATTACTCCCCTTGTGAAACAGCCAGACACTGGCCATTTGTGAACAAGTCACAGAGGCCTGGGATGTGGGGGAGAGAACTTCAGGCTGCGGGGGTGGTTCTCAGGAATCTAAGAATCAGGCCCACAGGAAGGAGCTCGTCAGGGCTCTATCTTCTCCCCATCAGCCTCAACAAGGACAAACATTTCCGCTCCAGGCGCTGAGCTAGGGTGTGGCTTGGATGACTTCCTCAGTTCAGGGCTGTGTGCGGGGGGAGGGGAGGCCCATTGGCTTGCCTGGTGGGAGCCAGGCCTGACGCAGCGGTGACTTGGTGGTGAACCCAAGTCCAGTCCCCTGACCCTTGCTGATCCAAGTGCCCTGAGGCTTGTCCCCAGCTGGCCACACCTCTAGTGTGCCCTCCCCACTTCCACCCTTTGTTGCATTTCAGGGATGCCAGGAGTTGTGACGGCTCTGTCAGAGCTGACAATTCCTCACCTGACCCCGGTTCTGGGAGGGATGGGACTGTCCCCTTCCATACAAGGGCAGTCTGGGCCCTGGAAACCATCCCTGAGGGTGAGGATTTTCCCCGTGTCATGGGGGTTCTCCACGCCTGGCTAACCTGATGCAGCTGTGTGTCCGTGGAAGAGGGAAGGGTTAGGTCTGTGTGTCTGTGGAAGAGGGAAGGGTTAGGTGGGCAGGGAGTTTGAACAATGAAGCCAGGGCAGGCAGGGGCTGGAGAATGACTCTGCTTAGGGTCCCTCTGAGGGCTCAGCTTTCCCTGGGCCTGCAGGGGAGATGGGCGGGGCCTCCTCTGCGCCGAGCTCGAGTTTCCATAGAAACCCACAGGCTTCCCACCCTGGGGCTGGCGTAGGCAGGCTGCCAGCCAGGCCGTATCCGCCAGCCTCTCTTCCCCACCCCAGGCCGCTCCAGCCCCGGTTCCTCCTGGCCCCTCCCCAGGCCTATTCCTATCCGGGAGCCCCTGGCCTCCGAAGCCCTCTTCCTTCAGGAACTTGGGCCTCTCTGAGCTACTGCCCCTCCGCCTCAGGCCTTTCTAGTCTCACCAGCTCTAGGGCCAGGCCAGGCCTCCTAGGCCGCTCTCTCCCCCACCCATGGAGGGCCCCGGACTGGTGGTGCGCGGGGAGGCTGCGCCCTTTTCTACAGCACTCCGAAGCCTCGTCAACAACCCCTGGTACAGGTGAGGGGGCTGTCTTCGGTTTGTCCTAGCGGGCTCTATTGGCCCCATGACGCTGAGGAGGCCCTGGGGGATGAAGAGGTGGCAGTTAGAACCTGCCTTCCTCTCTGGTGGACTCAGTCTGTGGGGAAGTCAAGTGGAGACAGTGGCTTGTGGCCCGAGGCATCCGTGGTGTCCTGAAAGCCAGAAGTGGGGACAGTGGGAGCGAGAGCCCGGAGGTGCTGTGTGAGCTCAGGCAAAGACCCCTCTTCTCTGAATCTCAGGCTGCTGGCAGAAGAGAAAGATCCTCAGTCCCTTGGATCCTGAAAGGTGGGAGGTGATGATTCTTCCTTTTCCCTCCTAACACTCAGCTTGGTGTCCAGGCTCCTCCTGGAAGAAGCAGAGGAGCAGACGCCCCTGTTCTGGGCACTGGGCATTCACAGAGGAACAAAGCTCAAGGGACTGAGTCAGAGTCCCAGGCAGGAAGTAGTCAAGGGTCCTGCTGCTCCGCGCCTGCCCAGGATGCTCATGTCTGAAACCAGGGATAGAGTTTACAGGGGGCAGGGCTGGTCAGGAGCACTAGAGTGAAGCTTCTGTCCCCACTGTCTCAGAGCTAGGCTCCTCCCCCACGGTTGGTGACTCTTATAACCCTGCTTATTTGGGGTCACAGTCTGCCCTGAGTAGTGTGAAGCCAAGCTTTGGACCCGGGACTGGGAGGCTCCAGGAAGCTCAGGCTTCACCTGCCTTCTATCACAGGCCCCGTTCAGAGGTCCCTTTCACAGGCCCACAGGCTGGGGCCGGAAGTGATTGTGAATTTGGAAAATGTGGTCTGGCCTCATGATGGTTCATCACTGCCGTGTCTGTTTACAAGTGCACACTCTGCACCCCACACCCCCACACCCTCCTGCCTGGAGGAGGGCTGAAAAAAGCTGAGTTTGCAGCCAGTGGAGGAGGAGCCAAGAGGTGCTTTCCTTCCCCCAAGACTCAGGCTGGGGGAGAGGTGTAGGTGGGATCAATCTTGCTTGTGTCAGCTTTAGTGCCCCCTCAGTGATCAAGCACAGCCACCTCCTCTGAGACCTGAGGTTTAGAATAGGAAATCACTTGCTTGCAGTACCATCTGGTGGAGCTGGGACTAGAACTCAGGCCTGTGTGTCCCACACCTTCTGCAGGAAGTACTAAACCCTGTGTCTTACATTATAGCTATAGGAAACCAAGGCCCAGATAGGCAAGGCAAAGCCCAAGGCGCACTCTAGACTCTGGCCTCCTCTGCCCCTCTCTCCCACAGTGATGTTCGCTTTGTGGTCGGTCAAGAACGGCAGGAGGTATTTGCCCACCGGTGCTTGTTGGCCTGTAGATGCAGCTTCTTCCAGCGACTTCTGGGCTCAGAGCCCGGCCCCAGGGTGCCGAGTCCCGTGGTGCTAAGCACTGTGCCAGCTGAGGCCTTCCTGGCAGTGCTGGAGTTCCTGTACACCAACAGTGTCAAGCTGCACCGCCACTCTGTGAGCCCACTGAGCCGGGGCCTGGGTGGGAGAGGCTGGGGGTGCAAGAGGCAGGAGTTTGCCTGTCACACTGTGGGCTACCGGGCAGGGGAAACTCCCTTCTGCTCCCCAACCACCCACTCTGCAGGTGCTGGAGGTGCTGACGGCAGCTGTGGAGTATGGGCTGGAGGAACTGCGAGAGGTGGGTTTCTGTGCCAGGTCCCTGTCTCATTTCCCCTGCCTCTCATGGGCCACTTCCCACCCTGCTTCACAGACACTCTGGCCTGGAGAGGAACGTGTGCCCACACAGAGAGGAGTATGGATGTCTTTCTGTGTAAGCAGAGCATGTATGTGTGCCTATAAGAGCATGTATGTATGTATGTGTGCAAAAGAATTCTCCGGTGACCTGTGTGCTTTGGGGGCAGTGGGGGTGCTTATGGCTGATGCTGGAGATACAAGGATAAGTCAGCCTTGATCCCTGTTCTGATAGACACATGGAAACACTTACCAGGGTGGCATAAGAAATGTGATAGGTGAGGGTGAATGGTGCTGAGACTATGTGGAGACTGTGTGTCTCCCCAGTCTCACCACCAGGGAGAGGAAGAGAAGACTTCCTGGAGGAGGAAACATTCGTGTTGGATCTGGTAGAACAAATACAATTTTGTGGCCAGGTGTGGTGGCACATGCCTGTAATCCTAGCACTTTGGGAGGCCAAGGTGGGAGGATTGTTCGAGGCCAGGAGTTCAGACTAGCCTACGCAACATAGCAAGGACCCATCTCTACAAAAAATTTCAAAACTTAGCCAGGCATGGTGGCGCATGCCTGTAGTCCCAGCTACTCAGGAGGCTGAAGTAGGAGGATCACTTGAGCCCAGGAGTTGGAGGTTGCAGTGAGCTATGATCACACCACTGCACTCCAGCCTGGGCAACAGAGTAAGATCCTCTCTCTTAAAAAAAAAAAATAGGATTTTGTTCAGAGGGGAGTGGAAAGATGGCATTCTAGTCACAGAGGCACCAAAGGAGCTAGTGAGACATTTGGTGTGGCTGGACTAGGAACTAGGGTGTGAGGAGAGGGCAAGGTGAGACTAGAGAGGGTGCCTGGGCTGGTTCATGCAGGGCGTCCAAGCATTTGGACTGCTTTTAACTAGAGGGCAGTGGAGACTCAGTGAAGGTTTCAGGTAAGGGAATGAGGATTTGGCAGCTAGAGGAGAAGGGACTGGAAGAGATGGGAAGCACCTGACAGTTCAGCCAGGATAGTGCAGCAGTCAAGAGATGATGCGGCTCATGCCCATAGTCCCAGCTACTCAGGATGCTGCTGAGGCAGGAGGATCACTTGAGGCCAGGAGTTTGAGACCAGCCTGGGGAATATAGCAAGACTCTTGTCTCTAAAAGAAAAATTTAAAAAGAGATGATGTGTGGCTATGATGGGGGTGGCAGTGGAAGCCCAAGAGAGAGGTGGATGGCTCTGAAAGAGGAGCTAGAACTGGCAGAATCCAGTGTTTTTCTGGATGTGAGAATAAGAGAGATGTTGAGGATGAAATTCTTCAAGTTTCTGATAAAAACAGAAGTGTGCTGAGTCAGGAAGGGAACAAGTAGAGGAAGATAAGCATCCTGAGAGAAGGGGAGAGTGCCGTTTTTGCATGGTTCTTATCTGGTCTATTTAGTGGTGAATATGCTAGAAGGTGAGTTGCGGGGCTTGGCTTTGCTAGTCTCCAGTTCCTCTGAGCTTGCCTTCTCAGCTCTGGCAATTCCCTGCCACGCCTGGCCTGGGAGGTCAGGATGGGCCTGGGGCTGCTAGGAGCCTGAGTGGCTCACTGTTCCAAGCCTGCTCACTGCTTCTGGGGTGGGACTGGGGTCTCAGAGCAGGGACACCTCTGCACAACCCACATTCATTTCTGTTCTCAGCTGTGCCTGGAGTTTGTGGTGAAGGTGCTGGATGTGGAGTTGGTTTGTGAGGCCCTGCAGGTGGGTACTGCTGGCCAGGCCTGGGAGGAGTCTGGCTTTTAGTATGTGAAATTGAGTTCCCAGGTGCCAGGAGCCTTGACCTCTAGACCTTGTCTGGCCTGGAACAACCTGAATGTATGGTGGGAGGGAGTGTCCAAAGATGTTTGTAGGATGAACTCAGTGCCTGGGATCCTTCAGATCTGGGATCTGGGAGACATCAGCAGTCAGGTGTGGGAGCAGGATTTGAAGAGTCTGGAGGTCTCTGCTGGTCTTCTCTCAGGGCTGGGGAATGATTCTCCGCTGGACCTGGGGAAGGGTGTAGAGTTTTAGACATAGCGGTCTCCTGTAGCAAACAGCAGGTTAAGTCCACCTGCATACATGTCCATGTGCGAATGGGGGCCTTCACTGGGTCTAGTTTCCTGGGAGGCCACAGGCCCTGTCAGCCTCCCCAACTAGGGCTAGGGCTCACCGTGGTAGCCCCAGTGTGAAGTGCTGGGCTATGTGGTCTCTCAGTCTCCAACCCTCATTCTGCTCCCAGGTGGCTGTAACCTTTGGCCTGGGGCCGCTGCAGGAGCGTTGCATAGCCTTCATAGAGGCCCACAGCCAGGTACAGCTCCTCATCTTCATACTCCTGACCCCACACCCCATTCTGCTCCTCCCTGACCCAAACGCCGCCAACCCCCAGGAGGCGCTCCGGACCAGAGGTTTTCTGGAACTGTCAGCGCCTGCACTGCTGCCCCTGCTGCGCAGCGACAAGCTCTGCGTGGACGAGGCTGAGCTGGTCTGGGCGGCCCGGAGCTGGGCGCGAGTGGGCGCGGTGAGCTGGGGCTGGGGGAGCGCGAGGACGATGGAGGAGGTGCAGGCTGCGGGAACCAGGCGAGCAGGCGGCGGCCTGGGCTCAGGGCTGGCGTTCGCAGGCGGTACTGGAGCGGCCTGTGGTCGAGGTGGCAGCACCGGTGGTGAGAGAGCTGCGACTGGCCTTGTTGGCTCCAGCAGAGCTGAGCGCCCTGGAAGAGCAGAACCGGAGGGAGCCGTTCATCCCGGTGCGGACGCGGGCAGATCCACTCAGCAGTGTGGGGTCGAGGCGCTGGGGGGGAGGGCGGGAAGAGGCGGGAGTGGCCCTTTCGGGGCGAGGTGGCACCGCGGAAGTCAGCGGTGACCGGCTTTGCTCTGTAGGTGGAGCAGATCGTAGAGGCGTGGAAGTGTCACGCCCTGCGGAGAGGGGATGAGGCTCGAGGCGCCCCTTGTCGCCGCCGGAGAGGCACCCTGCCCCGGGAGCATCACCGCTTCCTGGACCTGCCCTTCAAATGACCCAACGCCAGGATTTCGAAGACTCCTGAGCCTGCTCCAAACTACATCTCCCGACGTGCTCGGAGCGAGCTTCTGGTTCCGGCATGCTCCGCGAGCGGGGCGCCGGAAGGATCCTTCTCTGCCATGCGCGGCGCCCCGTGCGTGGGTTATAGGGCGGGGCGAAACGCGAAAGCGGAGTGTTTTTAGCTGCCCGCGTTCACTGTGCGCGCTGACGCTGGACATTTTCGTTCACCGGCCTACTCTGATGACTCTCACATATCTATTCAGCTCAGCTCCCTTTTTAATTCCAGACCTGTCTCTTGGAGGTCACTCTGCCTCACAAACACCCTAGTCTCAGTGCAAAATTGAGCTTCCCTTCTTAACCCAGCTGTACCCCCATCGTGTTTCTCATTTCCGTGGTTGCCCACACCAGAAACCTGGAACGCATTCTACTCTTTCTTCCTCACACTTGCCTCAAGTGTGAGGTCGCTCTACCTTCTAAGAGACCTTTCTAGTTAGTTTAGTTTTCCAAGCCACGGGTTCAGCCTATCCTGACATGTCATATTAGTCTTTCTGCCTTCACTCCATAACACCCTCAGTCCACTTCCCACTCTGCGGCCACACCTGAGAATCTCTGTCCTACTTCCCTTATTAATTCTCCTAACATCCTCGTTGCCCTCCAGGACAAAATACAATCTATTTCACTTTCAAGACACTCAAAACTACTAGTGGTTCTTTTTTTTTGAGACATAGTCTCACTCTGTTGCCCAGGCTAGAGTGTAATGGTCTCAGCCTAGCTCACAGCAACCTCAAACTCCTGGGCTTAAGCGATCCTTCTGCCTCTCAGCCTCTAGAGTAGCTAGCTGGGACTATAGGCATGCACCACCATGTCCGGCTAATTTTTTCTATATCTATTAGTTGGCCAATTAATTTCTTTCTATTTTTAGTAGAGACGAGGTCTCACTCTTGCTCAGGCTGGTCTTGAACTCCTGAGCTCAACCGATCCACCCGTCTCGGCCTCTCAGAGTGCTAGGATTACAGGCGTGAGCCACTGTGCCCGGCCTACTAGGGGTTCCTAAATGCTAGCAACTCCTCTCAAACACTACCTTTGCATAAATTCACTCATCCCAGAGGTATTAATTCTTTAGCTCCAGATTTACTCTCTTGGTTATTGAAGATTCCTCTGCTCTCTCTCATTCATCCTACTTCTTATCTTCCTGAGGACCTGAATTCCTCTGAAGAAAGATCCCTGGGGCCTAAAGAAGTGCCTTATTCATGTCTGCTTCCTCAGTCCCTTTCACTTAATGAGTGCTCTGTAAATGTTAAGTTAATGACTTTATTTCCTTATTTAAATGCCACTTTATTCCATAAAGAGTTTTAAGGGATCTGTAAAACAGTATACCATCCATCTAAAATGAGAGACAGTTGACTGTTTAGAAGAAAATAAAGTTATATTTCTATCTCAGGGACTTTATACAAAACTATATTGCATATAGTTTTTTTTTTTTTTTTTGATACAGAGTCTCGCTTTGTTGCCCAGGCTAGAGTGAGTGCCGTGGCGTCAACCTAGCTCACAGCAACCTCAAACTCCTGAGCTCAAGCAATCCTCCTGCCTCAGCCTCCTGAGTAGCTGGGACTACAGGCATGTGCCACCATGCCCAGCTAATTTTTTCTATATCTGTTAGTTGGCCAATTAATTTCTTTCTATTTTTATAGTAGAGACGGTGTCTCACTCTTGCTCAGGCTGGTTTTGAACTCCTGACCTCTAGCAATCCGCCGGCCTCTGCCTCCCAGAGTGGTAGGATTACTGGCATAAGCCACTGCACCCAGCCTGCATATGGTTTAAAGACAGTTATTTGGCATTCTCTGGCAGAAATGAAAATGTGGTTATCCAGTAGTGCCACTGCATGGCAACATTGGAGAGTGAAAATTGAAAACAATCTATATGTCCATTAATAGAAGACTGGTTATATTAGCTATGGTATATTTCTACAATGATATGGAAAGATATTTATGACCTTTAGTGAAAAAAGCATAGTTCAGACCAAGTACAGCACAATTCGTTTTGTTAAAAGATAGCATAGTGATTAAGTGTGTGTTTTCTGGAGCCAAGATGCTTGTGTTTGAATCCCAGCTTCACCACATAATGGCTTTGTTACTTGAGTTAGGATACTTAATTTTTATCTACCCCAGTTTCCTTATTTATAAAATGGAGCTAAAAATAGAACCTATTTAGTAGGGTTGTTAGGAAGATGAAATTAGTTAATTTTGTAAAATACTTAGAACTGCAGCCAGGTATGATGGCTTATGCTTATAATCCCAGCTACTCGGGAAGATCACTTTAGGCCAAGAGTTCAGGACCAGCCTGGGCAACACAGTGAGACCCCCGTCCCTCCCAAAAAACAAACAAACAAAAAATACACAAAAACAATAAGCAGAACTGTAGCTGGAAAGATTAGACACTGTATATGTGTTTAGAAAATAAATACATTCATTTGTTCTGTAAATATTCATTGAGTGCTTAGTGCCAAATGTTGATTTAGGGTCATGGAATATATCAGAGAACAAGTCAAGTCTTTCCCAAGGAGCTTACATTCTAGAAGAAACATACAATAAACAAACTAAATGTATGACATAATTTCACGGAGTAATTTGTGCTATCAAGAAAAGTAAAACAGGTTACAAAGCGATTTGATGGGAGTAGGACTGTTGCACACAGCGTAATGAGAGTAGATCTCCTAATGACGTTTGACAAGAGATCTGCAGGGAGCCACGCATCGTGGGGCAAGGCATTGGAAGGGTTTGTGTATGAGAGAGTGGTGTGTATGGTTGGATTTATGTCTTTTTTTTATTTTGGATATTTATAGCAGCTTTATTTGTAATTGTTAAGACTTGGAAGCAACCAAGGTGTCCTTCAGTAGGTGATTGAATCAATGAATTGGTACATCCAGATAATGAAATATTGTTCAGCATTAGAAAGAAACGAGCTATCAATCCATGAAAAGGCATGGAGGAAACTTAAATGCATATTACTAAGTGAAAGAAACAAGACCGAAAAGGCTACATACTGTAAAAAAATATTTTGGCTGTTATATGGAGGATTGGGATGGAGGGGGAGAGAGGAGAAGAGTGGTTAGAATTATTTAGGGGGAAAAGTTAAGAGGCTATTGTAATAATTCAGCAAGAATGGGAGGAAAATCAGCTGGTTGCAGTGGCTAATGCCTGCCTATAATCCCAGCACTTTGGAAGACTGAGGTGGAAGCATAGCTTGAACCCAGGAGATTGAGGTTGCAGTGAATTATGATGACGCCACTGCACTCTACCCAGGCAACAGAGTGAGACCACCTTTTCTTAATGAATGAATGAATGAAATAAAAAGGTGGGGGAAAATCACTGCTAACAGCTTTTTTTTTTTTTTTTTTTTAAAGACAAAGTCTCTGTTGCAGGGGTTAGAGTGTTCATTGCAACCTCAAACACCTGAGCTGAAGAGATCCTCCTGCCTCAGCCTGCCTAGTAGCTGGGACTACAGGCACATGCCACTACAGCAAGCTAGTTTTTTCTATTTTTGATAGAGACCCTCTTGCTTAGGCTGGTCTCAAACTTCTGGCTTCAAACAATCCTCCTGCCTCAGCCTCCCTAAGTGCTGGGATTGCAGGCAAGTGCCAACTCGCCCAGACCTTTGCTAACAACTAGCTGTTAGGAATGGAGCTAGGGAGCCACACAGGAGTGCTAGATTTGTCCCTTCTGTGTATTTCTACTCAAAAAGGTCAGAAGCAATAATGGCAAATAAATATCTTCTGTTCCTGAACTTTAGCCCTCAAATCTGCAGCTAACAAAAGTTAGGTAAAACGAAGACCACATCAAGAAAACACCATGGTAACTAACAACCATGAAGTCAAAAACCTAAAATAAAACTTAAAAAATTAGAAAAAAACTCTAAAATAATCATAAACCCAACCAACCAGCCTCATTGACACAAGACACAGTAACTTCTGCACTTTGACATTATGAACAGCCTCATTAATAAAAATGAGGCTTCAAAAATTGTTTTCCAACTCAAGACTGTTCCTCTCCACGGAAATCTTTAGTAAAAGGCGAAAGATTTATACGATTTGAAGAGAAACCAGAGTGTATCTGTACTATTTCTGCTTGAACCTTCCCAGGGAGAGCTAACAACTTGGTTGTGGTTGCTCAATGTTTGCGCGGTGCATGCTACCTGCATGCAGTTTATGTATATATATACTACTAACAGGAATTATGTCTTGCACTAGTGGAAAAAACCCGCAGGGATGGAGCTCAAGCATCGTGAAGCTGTCTTTTCGTAGTGCACCATGGGTATGCAAATACAGGCAGCTCCGGGCTGGTCCGGAATACCAGCTGCGGGGCGGGGCAGGGCTGCGGCTTCCTTATTCTTCTCTGCCGATCCCTTTGCCCCAGGAAGGTGTGGGCGGTGCTGGGTGCTGAGTACCTTGCTTGGGTTGGTATTGGAAAGTGTTAGTCCCAATTGTTCAGTCTTGTTCTGTACCTGCAGTGGGCCCCCCAGCCCCAGGAGATAGAAGGGAAGAGGCCAAGCACACTTAGGGGAAGTGGGACCATTTAGGAGGCATATCTCCATCCCCTTCTGGAGGAGATGGCATTCAATTCATCTTGAAGGATGATTTGGGGTTAGGTAAAGGGGAGGAGGCTAGGTGTTCTAGGCAGAGGGAATGCCCTATGGAACATTATGGAGATGAAGACCAAAAGTAATTCAACCAGTCTAGAGAGTGGAGTGTGGGTGTATCTGAATGAGGGTGTGAATCTGGTGGGGACACCTTCTGGTGGTGGGGTGGGGGTGGTAGGTAGAGGCTAGATCTTGTGGGCCCTGGAAAGGGTTTGGGTTTTATCTCATCAGTGATGGGGAAAACCATGGAAGGGTGATGAAGTCAGAGGGCTGAGTAGTGCAAGGTGCCACATAGGGTGGGCTGCCTTGAAAGCAGTACTGGGACTTGACCTCTGAGACTGGGTGTGGTCAGTACCCCAAGACTGCCCACTTCTGGAGTGGTCCAACTCCAACTGACTGGAATCCCTTAAGCTGCTGCCACACCAGGACACCCTTCTTTGTTTCAGGATTGTTCCCTAAGCATGCAATCGAGCAAAAACTTTCAGCATAGCTACCATACAAACTACAAAAATAAACACAAAGCATCTTTGAGATGCCAGGTCATTTCTTGCATAAATGATTTCATTTAAAATCCTGAAAGAATTCAGGCCTCACGCCTGTAATCCTAGCACTCTGGGAGGCCGAGGTGGGCGGATCGTTCGAGGTCAGGAGTTTGAAACCAGCCTGAGCAAGAGCGAGGCCCCGTCTCTACTATAAATAGAAAGAAATTAATTGGCCAACTAATATATATAGAAAAAATTAGCCGGGTGTGGTGGCGCCTGCCTGTAGTCCCAGCTACTTGGGAGGCTGAGGCAGCAGGATTGCTTGAGCCCAGGAGTTTGAGGTTGCTGTGAGCTAGGCTGACGCCATGGCACTCACTCTAGCCTGGGCAACAAAGTGAGACTCTGTCTTAAAAAAAAAAAAAAAAAAAAAAAAAATCAAATCCTGAAAGAAAAAAATAGTACCCTCTAAGATAGGCTCTAATCTTCCCATTTCATAGATGAAGATGACGAGGCTCAGTGAGGTTAGGTAACTTGCTAATAAGTGGCACAGAGGGCTGACATCCTTTGTACTCTTCTGGCCTAGTAAGCTCTCCCTGCCCTACCAAGAAGCCCCTCCATAGTGACCCAAACATGACTGGACCCAAATTAGCCTCCATCCTCTGGGCCTGCTGGATGCACTCCCTACTCCAGGTTCTAAGCCAACTACCTGCTTGTCTTTAGTCTTTTTAGGCATCTTAGTGTTGATTCAACAGCAAGGGCTTCCTTTTTTGTAATTTTTGGTCAGAACATGATTTTCTGGCCTTTGTCCGAGTGGGGTGGGGTGTTGAGAAGGCAGTGTTCCAGGGGTGGGATGATTCCTGGTGAGTGGGTGGTTGGAACCCAGGGTGTGTATGTGTATCAGCTAAGACTGAGCCCAGGGAGAGTTGGGGAAGGGCAATAAAAGACCTCTCCCATCCCACTGGGTGAGGCTCTGCACTCTATTCCAGGGCTATGGCCATTCTTCAAGGCCTTTGTACAACAGAGCTGTTCAGTATTCACAGAACAGCTTAAATTCAGTGCCCTCATTAAGTTGCCCCATTTAATCCACTGGGTGGCCACCTTCCCAGGTGTCAGGCTGACTGCTCACTTATCGAGGCCTCTGCCTTGAAGGTTGCTCTGGGCCCTGGCTTTTTTTTTTTGAGACAGTCTCACTCTGTTGCCCAGGCTACAGTGCCGTGGTGTCAGCCTAGCTCACAGCAACCTCAATCTCCTGGGCTCAAGCAATCCTTCTGCCTCAGCCTCCCGAGTAGCTGGGACTAAAGGCATGCGCCACCATGCCCAGCTAATTTTTTCTATATATTTTTAGTTGGCCAATTAATTTCTTTCCATTTTTAGTAGAGACAGGGTCTCGCTCTTGCTCAGGCTGGTTTTGAACTCCTGACCTTGAGCAATCCGCCTGCCTCGGCCTCCCAGAATGCTAGGATTACAGGTGTGAGCCACCACACCCAGCCTGGGCCCTGGCTTCTTGACCTTAGTCCACAAACCTCCTAAAATATCTCCCCAGACCCTGCTGCCCCATCTCTGCTTCAATTGGCTGCTTTCCCGATCTGCTTCCACTTCACCTTCCACCTGTTGCATGGCTGTGCCCCTCTGCCATGCCCCCCTGTGCAGAGGAAGCAGGAGGGCAGGAGATGAGTCTGGAGAGGTGGGCTGGGCTGAACGATGATGGCTGTGAAAGCCACACAGTAGGGTTTGACACCAAAAGAATTTACGTCATTTTGTATACTAAGCACTTAATCCAGATGGTGTTACCAAGTATAGGACAAAAATTCAGTCTGGGGTCTTTCCCAGCCAGAACTAGAGAAGGGTCAGTAGAGGTTCCAGGACATAAGGCCCTGATACCACAGAAGCCCCTTCCCATATCTAATCTTCACTGGCAAACTCCTAACTCTGAAACAAAAGCACCAAAGTCATTTGAGATGAGTTTACATAAAATATATTTCATTCTTTAAAAATAAAACTTTTAGCATAGCTAACATCTATATATACTACAAAAATAAACATCTTTATATAAATAATTTATGTGGTAGGAGGTGGACAGGGATACAGAGAGCCTACCCAGGAGCCACCATGCAGGAGGGCCGGGACTGGCAAAGGGTGCTGGAGGATCCTTCAGGCTTGGTCTGCTGGGTGGGCAGCGGTGTGGGGCAGGAGGGGGACAGGGCTGCATTGCAGCCTGAAGTGCTGGCTTTCACCTCCACCAGACACACAGGCCTGGGTGTGCCAGGCTGCTCACAGCAGGGGGGGTGTTGGTGGTGGCTGTTCTTTATGGATATCAGGGAGGTCCGTGACGGCCGAGTCAAGGGAGGGGATGCAGACAGCAGCAGCAGCAGCACGGCCCTCCAGGGATCCGTCCTGCATTCAATAACCCGCCCATTGCTTCCCAGTGACTATGGCCCAAGCATGAGATCTCCATGCTTCACTGCTCTTTCACATAGTGGCTGGGCATGGTCCTCTAGAACTGAGGTTACCAGAGCTGGTGGCAGCTGGGATGGCAGAAGAGGACCAACTGGGGTCATCAGAGGCTGGGTGGATATACGCACCAGGCAGCGGGGGTGGGTGGAGGGCCACAGTCATGGAGGTAGTCACTCTGGCAAAGCTCTGGGGCAGGGTGGGGGACACCCCCCACCTTAGCCCACCTTCCTGTGGAGCAGGTGGGCTCAGGACCTTAGGGCTCTCCTTGTACATCTGTACCACCTGAGAAGAGATACCAGTCTCAGTGAGCCCAGGGACTGCTGGGGCCACAGTCCCCTATAGAACCTCTCTGGTGATCACCATGATTGTTAGGAAGCTGGAGTTTTTCTTGGCCTCCAGTAGGATCTGAGAGCTGACAAGTGACAAAATATCAAGGCCTGGTGCAAACCCTGCACCTTGCTCTGCATCCTAAAAAGCTAAGGTGGGTCCTGTGAAGAAGCGAGGAGGACTGAGGGCAGGAGCCTGGTGTCTGGGGAAAGGAGGAGGTTATCATCTTCAGCGGGTGGAAACTGTCAGGGAGGGCCCTGGCTCTATCCCTTGCCTTGCATGTTCCTACCCAGTCCCCTGGGTTGGGGCCAGAGGGAGGGTGTGGTCACCTCTGGCGGAGGGCCCAGGATGGACAGCAGCACAGGCAGCAGCACGAGTCCATGGAGGAGGCCCAGAAGTGTGAGCACTGTCAGCACCACGAAGAAGTACCTGGGTTGGGGTGGGGAGTCAGCCTGGGCAGGCCCTGAGGCCAGCACAGACAGGCTCTGCCTCTTTGCCTGAGTCCCCCCTTACCTCACAATGAAGTCAAAGTTGGAACCAGCAAGCATGAGCAGACCCAGAAATGTGGAAATGGCCCCATCAGTCACGGGGGTGAATGTATGCTCGAGGGCACGGGCTGCCCGCAGGTTCCGGCTACCCTGGGTGGTCAGGAAGCCCTGGGGAACAGAGTGGTCCTGGAGCTGCTCCTCTGCGAATTGTAGTAAGCTCATCCATGTCCCCAACTGTATCTGTCCCCAGGGCTCACCTATACCTTGGCCCACAGAAGGCCAGGTAAACTAAATCCATGGGAAGCATGATGAGTCCATTTAGGTAACACTGTATAGATATGTCTGGTGAGGTTAGACACAGAGAGGTGTACAAAATAGGGTGGGCAGACTATAGCCAGTCACCTGTTTTGTGAATAAAGTTTTGCTGAAACACAGCCATACTCATTAATGTATTGTCCATGGCTGCTTCTGTGCTGTGATGGCAGAGTTGTAACAGAGACTCAGTGGCCCACCAAGCCTGAAATAGTTACTACCTGGCTCTTTACAGAAAGTCTAGAAGGATAGACGCCAAAGTGATAAGAGTTACTCCTCAGGGTAGCATTTCAGAGGATTTCTAACTCTTCCTTTGTACTTTTCTGCATGCTGGCTTTTTTGGTTTTGTTTTCAAGGAGTATATATTGTTCTTAGAATAATAATGGGACTATTGGCAGGGGGGAGAAGGGAGCTGTTTGTGGGGTCTGATCAGGTTTCTGTTGGTGCTTCCACAAGGTCTGTGGCCAGCCCCGACTTCCTCTGCCAGAGAACATGCAGCTTTGGGAAAGGCTGTGCTCTCCTCTAGTATTTTATCCCTCTGTCAAGCCATTGCCAACCAGCTACCATCCCATTTCTCTGATCCCCTCCACAGTAAAGCCACTCAAAAAACTGGTTCCCATTTTCTTACCTTCCATTCTGTCCTTAAACTTTGTTCACTCCTCTCTACCAAAATGGGCACTTATTTATTTGTTTACTTGTTTATTGACTATTTTTACCCCCTTAGAATATAAGTTCCTTGGGGCCATGTGCAGTGGTTCACGCCTACAATCCCAGAACTCTGGGAGGCTGAGGCTCGATGATTGCTTGAGCCCAGGAGTTTGAGGCTGCAGCAAGCTCTGATGATGTCACTGCACTCTACCCAGGGTGATGGAGTGAGACTCTCTTAAAAAAAAGGAAACTGAATCCCCCATCTCACTCTCCCCCCTTTTAAAAAAGGAGAAAAAATAAATAATTAGTTCCTTAGAAGTAAAAACTGTGTTGCTATTATATACCCAATTCTTAAATAGTACCCAGAACACAGTAGGTGCTTGAGCAATATTTGTTGAATTCCGAATAGCTGACCCATCCCTCCCCTGGTGCCTGTGCTTACCAGAGCCACGTGGACTGTGAACTCGACACCAATCCCTACAGATGCTACGAGGATCACCACGGGGATGGCGCTCAGCTTGATGCCCAGGAAACCCATGATACCAAAGAGTTCCATGGTCACCATTGCCAGGACCAGCACCTGAGGAAGGCAGGGCTCATGCAGGGCTCCTGGCAGGAGTGATTACAGGCAGGCAGGGTGGGGTGCCGCTGAGTGTCTGTGACCCCACCCCTGAAGTACTCACTATGAGGCCAGCTGTCCAGGGGTTGAGTAGCAGGAGGGCACAGACGAGGAAAGTGCACACCAGCAGGATGCAGACAGCCAGCAGGAAGCAGTGCCGCAGGCCCAGATACTGCTCCCAGAAGAGGAAGGGGGAGCCGCTGGGGTAGGCGTGCACCCCGGCCTGGCCTGCCTCTGCACATGCTGCCCGGGCCCCCTCAATGGCCTCTACAAAGTCTGCAGTCTTCTGGAGGCCACGCAGCAGGAAGGGGAACTGGGCAAACTCCAGGGGCTGAGCTGGTGGGACTGTGGAGGGGAGGGGAATGGGAGAGGGAGGGGGACAGTGAGCACAGGGAACAGTGGGCAGGGCCTCAGGGACAGGGCCTATGTGGGCTGAGGCTCTTGCTGAGCTCCCCCCAGGACTCACTGCGAAGGTTCTCCCCAGTGGTGTCATATTTGTCGTGCAGCCATTCAGGAGGTGGCGGGTAGAAGTTGGCCTGTGAAGCTGCCAGACCCAGAGGGTCACTGCTCACCCACACAGTTAGCCCCACGTAGAAGAGCTCTGGTGGAATCAGTCCCTCTTTGTCCACCAACTTCCTTGTGGTCAGCTGTGGAGGCAGAGAGGGCTGAAGGTCTGAGCCCATGAGGCCTGGGGCCCTGCTGTGCTCCCTGAGCTCTAGCCCTCTCCCAACCTGGCTGAAATTCAGAGGCTCCTGGGCATCCCCGGTCTGGATGAGCAGCTTGTAGGCCAGGGCCCCGTCCTCAGAGCCATTGCGGTACGAGTAGCGGGTAATGCGCCCAGAAGCCCAGTCCTGGTCAAAGGCAGCCTGGATTCCTGGGGGAGAACAGGATAGGGAATAGTTAGCCTGTGGCCCCAGGGGGCTTCTCCCTGCAGCACCCTCTCTTACAGTCTCTTTGCTTCTTACCCTGTAGCCAATTGCGGTAATAGTGCAGCCAGGTGCGGGGTGCCTGGGTGGCAGGTGGGGGCAGCACAGCCTTGAGGGAACTGAAGCGCTGGTGCAGATCAAAGAGGGCACGTTGGGAGTGGGCGTAGTCAAAGCCACCCTGGGTCACCAGGGCTACCTCGTACAGGGAGAAGTACCTGAGCTGGGCGCTCAGGAAGGCATGCTCCTTGGTGCCCCGAGGTACCACGTCTGTCAGGGCCAGCCCATCCTGCACCAAGGTGGCTCCGTAGAGGCTCAGGCCCAGAAGAGCCCCAAAGAGCACCAGCACCATGGCCTGCGGGAAATGGCAACTAAGCTGGAGGCCTGGGGCTGCCCTCCAGCCCTGAGGTGGTGGGCTAAGCCCTTTGCCCTTCTTGGGGCCCAGATACACTAAGTCTCTGCTTTGCCCTACCTAGTCTTACCTTGGTGTGTGACTGGAGCAGCAAGGGTGCAAACTGATAGCGAGCGAAATGGGCAAGTGTCCAGCGGGCACAAGGTAGGGACTTGCAGGCTGCCTTCTGTCTTGTCTCCTCCTCCTGGCCTAGAAGGTCCCGTGTGGACCCTCCAGGACTGAAGAGCTCAGAGCCCAGTGGGTCAGAAGGTGGGGACACCAAGTGGGCTTGGGGAGGCAGGATGGTGACCACATGCTGGCTGCTGGCTTCACAGTGGGTAAAGGCTTGAACTGTGGTGGTCAGGTGGGCAATGCCCACTGGTACTGTCCTATCCCCCAGTTCCTGAGGCAGAATCTGAATCACTCGAGCAGAGCAGGGGCTAGAGGGGACAGAGAGAGTAGATGACAGGTCTGTGCCTTGAAATGCTGGTAAGGGGATAAACAGAGGGTATCAGTGGAAGAAGAGGGGGTGTACAGGGATGGTACCTAGAGAAGCAGCAAAGCACATCGAGGCGCTGGCAGTGACGCCGGCGCAGGTCCAGGCTGAGGATGGCTGGGAAGACGAGCATCACAGCTGCAAAGTTGCAGCCAACCACTATGGCCGCCTAGGGGATGGACAGGAAGGGCACAAAGTCTGGATGAAGTCCACCCCCAGATCCACCCCCACCTTGGGCCCATCCTGTTCTTTCCTGAGGCCTCACCTGCAAGGAGAAGGCCCGAAGAGCAGGGATGGGAACTAGGGCAGCCATGAAGAAGGCAACCATGTTGTTGATGGATGTGAGTGTGACACTGGTGCCTGTGCGCTGCAGACACTCGCCCGTGCGCTCCTGCCAGGACAGAGCGGGGATGTGGCCTCAGGTCACAGGGGAGGGGAGCCATGTCAGGGTCGAGTGAAGGGGAGGCTCAGGAACTTGGGATGGCAGAGGTGAGGCAATAATAGCACAGCAGCTAATAACATTATTGAGTACCATGTATGTGTCATGTGCTGTTCTCAGCACTCAACCTGAATCATCTCACTGATCCTCACAACAATCCTTAGGACACAAGCACTATTATTACCCATGTTTACAGATGGCACAGAGGTTAATTGGTAACCCAAGGTCACTTGAACCAAGAGGCTTTTTTTTTTTTTTTTTTGAGATAGAGCCTTACTCTGTTGCCCGTGCTAGGGTGCAGTGGGATCATCGTAGCTCACTGCAAACTCAAACTCCCAGGCTTAAGTGATCCTACTGCCTTAGCTTCCCAAGTATCTGGGACTATAGGTGCATACCACCATGCCCAGCTAATTTTTCCATTTTTTTGTAGAGGCAGGGTCTCACCATGTTGCTCAGCCTGGTCTTGAACTCCTGGCCTTAAGCACTCCTCCCACCTCAGCCTCCCAAAGTTCTAGTCTATTTTTTTCTTTTTGAGACAGGGTCTCACTCTGCTGCCCAGACTAGAGTTAAGTGGTATGATCATAGCTCACTGTGGCCTTGAACTCCTGGGCTCAAGTGATCCTCCTACCTCAGCCTCCTGAGTGGGTGGGACTACAGGTGTGCACTATTATGACTGGCTAATTTTTTATTTTTTGTAGAGATTGGTGGGGGGAGGGTCTCGCTATGTTGCCCAGACTGGTCTCAAACTCCTGGCCTCAGACGATCCTCCTTGGATGGGGCCAGGTTGAAGGATGAGGCCTTACCTGAAGAGGGGCGCCAGGTGGAGCCTCCGTGAAGGCATGTGCCAGCAGGAATATGTCATCTACACCGATTCCCAGTGCCAAAAAGGGTAGCACCTGGAGGGGCAGAGAGGTGAGCAGTTGGAGGACTTGTGCAGTCTGGTGATAGCACCCAAAAAAGTCTGTTCTGCAGTTGTGGTATACCTGGGTAGTGGCAGCATTGAAGGTGATACCAAGCAGGGCACAGAGCCCAAGGCCTGAGGCCACTGCCAAGGCCACCAGCAGCACCCCAGCAAGGCCCACAGCACCCTGAGACTGGGCACAGTCCCACCGCAGCATTGTTACACAAGCATACGCCAGCTGTGGGGAGAGAGGACAGTATCAGATGGAGACTCTCAGGGTGGGTACTGGGGAGAGGAGGGGCAAGGTGCCAGGAGCAGGACCCACCATGAGCAGATAGCCTCCCACCACACGGGCAGCACTGACTTCAGAGAATGCATGCAGGATGTCATCCAGGGTGGTGGAGGAGAAGGCATGGATCTGCTGGGATGAGTTCTCAGGCAGGGCTTCCTGGGCCAGCTGGAGAGACACGCTCGATCTGAGGGCATGGGAGGAGGGGGTGGCCTCAGGGCACTCCTCCTTGTCCTTGTCCACACTGACCTGCACAAAGCGCCGCTGCCAGGCTTGTAGCACTGTGCTGGCCTGTTCCTCGCTCCAGCCAATGTCATGTGTCTGGTAGTCACCCCGGAAATGCTCATACAGCTGGCGGGGACTCATCAGTAGGAAGGTGCTCTGCAGGGCCTCTGCCCTGGCGGGGAGTGGAGGAGAGTTAGGGTCAGAAATGGCCCAAATGCCCAGGGAGGAATGTGCAGGGGGCTTTTGCCTGGTATTAGAGTGTGGATTCCCATGCACACAGCCCCCTTGCCAACTCCCAGGGGAGGCCCTACCTCAGCAGCTGTCCTTGGGGGTCTCTGGCCATGCCTCCCAGCAGCAATTCCTCCTGCCAGTGCATAAATTTGTGGGAGAAGCCGTGGCAGCCCCCGCTCAGCTCCTGAGCCACATTGGGAGCCTGGGGAGTGGGGGACAGGGGAGGAGTTTAATACTCAGGGCCCTGGCTCTGGATAACTGGGTATCTCAGGGCTTGTACCTCCAGGAACCAAACCTGCCACAGAGCTCAGTAGGTCTGAAGTATTGAGATCTATTCTCCTGAGCCTCTTGACTACTTTTTAAGAATGAACAGCTAGTGTCTTGCAGATTATAGGCTACAAGAGGGAGCAGAGGCCTGGAAATAGGCTGCTGGGAGGAGCTAGCATAACTGGTGGGTTTTGACCACACAGACTCTTGGAAACTAGGTATGATATTCGTGCTTAGCTATTTTGTTCTTAGTTTCCTCATACAAGTCTATTTTGATAAAGTCCAGCCTTGTCTGGGGTAGAAAAGGAAAAAGGGGTACCTATGCCCCCTGAGGGCTCCTTAGGAGGACTGAGTGGGAATGGAACACTCCAGGGGTCTAGCATAGTGGGGCTGGTAACAATGTCCAGGAAATAGGAGCACAGCACAGAGCACAGTCAGCTCTCTCTCAGAACAGGGAAACATGAACAGGGGAAAGGGAAGAAAAGCAGTCTTTCCCTGGCAGACCTGGTTGGAACCCACCTGCCTGCTGTGATGGTTGGGGGCACTAGGTGGGCAGTGCAGGTCATCAGGGTGCAGACAGGGCCGCCCCACATAGGCCTGGCCCACCTGTGCCTTGTCTAGCAGCTCCCGGAAGCCCTCAAGGGAGGCAAAGGGGCCCAGCTCCTCTAGCAGCTGCTCCGGATCCAGGTTGGTCCACTGGATGTCGGGGCGGCCCCTGGGGGGAAAGCTCATGGTTGGTGAAGGTCAGGGATCAATACCCACCCTCCAAACTGCTGCTCTGGGACCCATGCTATACCCCACCCTCCTCTTATCTGCTTATTTGTTCCTCCATACAGAGGGTGTGCAAGGCCCAGCTTCTCAGTGCTGCCAGGCTGCATCAGCCCAGCAGGTCGCTGCAGTGAGCTGTGGGTGGATATAAGGTGCTGAAGTGGATATCAGGATGGATATACTTAATACATAGAAAGGTCCAGAAAGCCCCCACTGAGTCCCCTTCCCAGCTGTCTACTTGGTTCTAATATATAACTATGTGGGCACCCGCCTGCAACAGGTTTTCTTTCTGGCTTAGGCAACAGCTTAGCTGATACCTAGGTAACTCCCCCCAGTCTCTTTCTAGGAATTCTTTTCTCCATTGCTCAGATTTTACAGATCTTTGTGTTCTGTTTTTATCTAAATAAGACAGATCTTCCTTTCCTTCAGAGATAAGGAGAAGGGGGGATGTGGAGAGAGCCTTGGGGAAGCCCATGCTCTGACCCTGGCCTAGAGGTAATTAGGAATTAGAAGTAGTTAGGTTTTGGTTGTCCTCTTTGCTCCCACCCCTCCCATCTGCTGGGGAAGTCCCTGGTGGGAGATGAAGCAGGGCCCAGGAGAGGCAGCGGTACACTCACGGCAAGTAGGCAGAGCCCCCTTGGAGTTTGGCTCCCTCCCAGAAGCAGTCGAGGGGGGTGAGGATCACACACGGGAACAGCTTCTCAATCATCTGCCAGGGACACCCCAAGCCACATCAATCCTGTCCTTGAGTTCCTTCCTGATGACCTTTGTAGGATGCCCTCTGCAATCTCCCCTGTCTCTTCTGATTTTTTTTTTTTTCTTTTTTGAGACAGGGTCTTGCTCTGTTGCTCAGGCTGGAGTGTAGTGGTGTCATCATAGCTTACTACAGCCTTGAACTCCTGAGCTCAAGTGATCCTACTACCTTAGCCTCCTGAGTAGCTGGGACTACAGGTGTGTGCCACTATGCCTGGGTACTTTTTTTGTTTGTTTTTTTTGTACAGACGGGGTCTCGCTATTGTTCAGGCTGGTTTCGAACTCCAGACTTCAAGTGATCCTCCCACCTCGACCTCGGCCTCCCAGAGTGCTAGGATTACAGGCGTGAGCCACTGCGCCCGGCCTCCCCTTACTTTTAACCCCCTGAAAATCTCTCTGCACCCTGCCACACCACAGCAAAGGTTCCACCTCTACTCTACCTCAGGAAAACAGCTCAGGATACTTACTCGCTCAATCATTCCATTTTCAATAAGGGGAACTCCTGACTTGTAGCAGATCTTGTTCAAATCCCAGGACCTGCAATAGCCAGGGGTACAGAGTTCAGCAGAAGAGGGGAATTCCCACTCCAGAACTGCCACAGCACACATCACCCTGAATTTCACCGCCCCACCTCCAGGGGCTCAGCCAGACTCACTTTCCATAGAGTGATACTTGCACTTTACTAGCAGTGAGGGCTGCCTGGAGGTGGAGGCCAAGTGCCTCAGGCGTGAGGATGTTCTCCCCTTCCTGGCGTGCAGTCTGTATCAGCATCTGAGAGGTATATGCAGCCTCCTCCCCCAGCTTCTCCTTGGTGTAATTCAGCTCCTGGCTCACCCGGCTGCCCACTGCCAGAGCAAAGAGAGAAAGCTGTGGGGCATGCGCCTGGCTGGTCAGAGCTCTGGGGAAGGTGAGGTCCTAATCCTGAGGCCTGGAAAAGTGCTGCCAAGAGGAGTCCCTGCCTCCTCCCTGACGGCCTAGCCATGACCCAGGCTGACTTCCCAGGCTCCTGCCCCTCTTCTCAGAATCTGGAACTTGCCAGGGAAGTGGAGAAGCCTCAGTTATGTGACTCTCTGATTTCTTCTGTGGTCTAGGGCAGCAGTCCCCAACCTTTTTGGCACCAGGGACCAGTTTCATGGAAGACAATTTTCCCCGGATGGAGGGGGTGGGGTAAGGTGTCGTGGGGAGGGTGGTGCAGGGCTCAGGCAGTGAAGTACAACCCGTTTCCTAACAGGTCACGGACTGCTACTCGGCCATGGCCTGGGGGTTGGGGACCGCAGGTCTAGGGTTTAAGCATGAACCAGGTTATCTGGGTCTGGGACAAAAACTAAAAAATGAAAATCAACATGAGTTGGGCCTTGGCTGGGGCTACGGGGACATCCTGGAGAGAGCCCTTACTCAGTCCCTCTCAGGTCTGGTATGGAGGACAAGGAGGACATCAGAGGCCAATAGGGAGGCTGCCACTGGGAGAGTTTCCTAAAAGAACAGGTCTAGGCTGGGGCTGGTTCTTAGTTCAGGTTGCTCCAGTGATTTATATCCACACACCATTCTGCAAACTGCTCTGGGAAGAGGGAGGGGATGGCAGTGCCTGGTAACAATGGGCCCTGCACTGGCGCAGGCAAGGGAAGGATCAGATGGCCTTTCAGCGTGATGTTCCCACTCAGGTAAGGTGTATATGGAATCAGCTCATGTCCCTGGCAGAAGTGAAATCAAAGTGAAATCAAAGTGGGCCACAGGGAAGGAGGGGTTCCATTCCCTTTCACTACCCTCACTGTCCAGACTGTGAGTCCCAGTGCCAGGCCTGCCTTAGTCTCCTTGCTCTTAGCATCCCTCAAATCCTGTATCATGCTGGCCATGGAGTTGTGCTCTGTAACTGGGGCTTGGGGGAGGCAGGGACATTGTGAGGGTATATGACCTAACTGTGGTTTGGAGGAGGGTGAGGGCCACAGCCAAATCCACCCCAGAGGCTTTGTGAACTTCGTCTATTCTCAGACCCAGTTCTGCTTCTACCTGTCTGGGGGTCTCTTCCTGTTGGTCACTACTATCACAGGGGATGTACTGCTTCTCTGAGACTCCGGCCCCACCTAGGATCTTCATGTTTTCGAATCTCTTTTTTAAACCCACACAATTTCCTCACCATTACAGCCCCAAACCCTTGGTAACCACCCCAACACAGATTTACCTATATGCTCACAGCTCCCCCTGCCAAGTCACATTTGTGGCCGTCCCCTCATGAATACAGTCTCGAACAGCCTCCCCTGTCAACTACTACCTCCTTTTTTTCTTCTTTCTCTGACTCTTCCCTACTCCTGAGTCCTCTCCCAGGCCTGTCCTGCAGTGTTTATTTCACCAGGTTGAGGCCAAAGGTTGCTATATGGAGAGAAAGGAGAGGAGGACAGAGATAAGTTCCCCATAGCAGGTGGGTTTGCTGAGAAGGAAGGAACCCAGAGATAGCTGATAAGAAGGCAAGAAATAGAAACACAGATAATTAAAAGCAGATAATTAAAATACAACATCAAAGAGAATAAATAATCCTCAGGGGAAAAAATAAGGAAGAGAAAAAGATAAACCTCAGCTGACAACAATGATGACAGATATGAGGACAGATAAACTAGGATGTATTGTGCAAGCAGGAAGACACGATGAGTATAGGGAAGGGGACAAAGGCTCTGTACAGACCTGACTTTGAGCCTTGCCTCTGTGCCTTGGGCAAATCACTTATTCTCTGAGTCTCAATTTCGCCATCTCTAAAATAGGGACAATAACTATCTTGGTAGAATTAGAATCAAGGCAGGCAAAGTATTATACTTAGGAAATTGCCTGGCACATAGTAGGTACAGATATGGAGTTGTTATTCAATAGTTGCTGTGAGAGAAATGATGTGACAGAAAAATCAGAAAGAACTGGAGGAAAAGGAAAAAAGATTAGATAAGTAGGGAAGAAATAAAACAGGGAAGGAGAACATCAAAATCAACACATTTGTTAAAAATTTTCATGTCTTTACAAAAGGGAAAATACAACTAGCTAACCAACAGAAAACGAGTCCAGCTTATAGATAATCCTACAAATGTAAATCCTACAAATTTACAAATGTAAATTAAAACAGCAATAAGTTGGCTGTTGCCAATTAAATTGGCAAACATTTAAAAATTAATAGCACTCATTGCTGGCTTACAGGAGTATATTCTAAAATCCACCCAGGGAGTGTAATTTGATGTACTATTTGGGGAAAGCAGATTGCAATATGTATGTTCATAATCTTTGATCCAGAAATTTCACAGGTAAGGGCTTATGAGCCATTGTAGGGACTTAGGCTTTCTGAGTGAAATAGGAGTTATCGTAGGTTTTTTTGTTTTGTTTTGTTTTTTAAAGACAGGGTCTCACTTTGTCACCCAGGATGGAATGCATAGTATAATCACAGCCCACTGCAGCTTCTGAACTTCTTGGTTCAAGTGATCCTCATGCCTCAGCTTCCCAAGTAGCTGGGACTACAAGGGCATTCCACCCTGCCTGGCTAATTTTTATTATTTATTTTATTTTATTTTATTTTTTTTTTGAGACAGAGTCTCACTTTGTTGCCCAGGCTAGAGTGAGTGCCGTGGCGTCAGCCTGGCTCACAGCAACCTCAATCTCCTGGGCTCAGCGATCCTAATGCCTCAGCCTCCCGAGTAGCTGGGACTACAGGCATGCGCCACCATGCCCGGCTCATTTTTTGTATATATATTTTTAGTTGGTCAATTAATTTCTTTCTATTTTTGGTAGAGACGGGGTCTCGCTCAGGCTGGTTTCGAACTCCTGACCTTGAGCGATCCGCCCGCCTCGGCCTCCCAAAGTGCTAGGATTACAGGCGTGAGCCACCGCGCCCGGCCAATTTTTTATAGAGACGGGGTCTCGCTATGTTGCCCAGGCTGGTCTCAAACTCCTATCCTCAAGAGATTATCCTACCTTAGCCTCCCAAAGTGTCAGGATCACAGGTGTAAGCCACTGTGCCCAGCCTGTAGTAGGTTTTGAGCAGAGAAGTGAGATTATCTGGCTTTTTAAAAATCATCTAACAATGTATTCTGGAGCCGAGTTGTGAATGATGAGTAAGAGCTGGCCAGGGGAAGAAGTTAGGAAAGGTGTTCTGGACCAAGTGTGTACAGAGGACTGTCAAAGGCTCAGCATTGCAGTACTGTCAAGAGTGAGCCAGGGTGGAGCCAGTGGCAATGCTGGAGAAGCGACTGAGTCAGATTATGGAGGGCCTAGAATGTGTGCTATGGAGTTTATATTCGATTCTGGAGACTTCACAGAATGTGGCAGAAATCGGGAGAAGGGCTCTGATCAGGGTACTGACCTGGCCAGAATGAATTACACCACAGGGGGGCGGTGTGGAGGCAGTTTTACTGGTGAGGCTGACAGATCTTTCAACTCCTGACTTTCAGATCCTGATTTTGGTGGCCACCTTCTGAAAGGCCTAGTGATTAAGGACAGCTGGGATCCGCCCCAGCATCAGAGGGTGACATTTGATTAGTATAAGAAGTCAATCACGGGCTGGGCGCTGTGGCTCACGCCTGTAATCCTAGCTCTTGGGAGGCCGAGGCGGGCGGATTGCTCAAGGTCAGGAGTTCAAAACCAGCCTGAGCAAGAGCGAGACCCCGTCTCTACTATAAACAGAAAGAAATTAATTGGCCAACTGATATATATATAAAAAAAAAATTAGCCGGGCATGGTGGCGCATGCCTGTAGTACAGCTACTCGGGAGGCTGAGGCAGAAGGATCACTCGAGCCCAGGAGTTTGAGGTTGCTGTGAGCTAGGCTGACGCCACGGCACTCACTCTAGCCTGGACAACAAAGCGAGACTCTGTCTCAAAAAAAAAAAAAAAAAAAAAAGAAGTCAATCACGGTAATTCCATTCCCTTTGCCAAGTGAAGGATTTCAGCATAGGATGCTATGTGGTTCTTGCCAAAGAGACCAAATGGGAAGTCACAGAGAGGCTTCAGATAAATTTTTCCTCACTTTCAAAAAAGGATGCAAGACAGGCATGACTTCCTTTTTCTACCACTGCATCAGCCTCCTTAGGATAAGCCTGAGGACAAAAGTCCAACAAGCTGAAGACGGCAGAGGAGAAAGAGAGACAGAAACTGGGTCCTTGCTGATGTCCTTGGGCTGCTAAATTAACCATCCTGGAACATCTCTACTGACAGACTTCTTATTACAGAGAATTATAAATCAATCTTCTTCCTTCCTTTCTTTCTCCCTCCTTTCCTTTCTTTCCCTTTCATGTGGCTAAAAATGTTCTAAATGATATAATCAGGAGTATCTTGCCAGAGATGGAAAAAAGCCTCAACTGGAACAGAGACAAAGGATGGGTCTAATGTGAGAGAGGTTAAGAAGGAAGAATTTACTGGTTTAGCAACCAATTAGGTGAGTGAGAGGAACTGAGCCTGACTCCCAAGGTATCTGAGTATATGGTGGTGCTACCAATTGATACTCGACCATCCAAGGACAGCTCTAATTTCAAGCTGTCTCTATCATTGTTCCTGTAAGTACTAGTTGGGCTATATGTTGTGATTTTTATTTTAGACAATGATCTAAGGGGCCTCTGAGCCCTTCAGCTTTAAAGTTGGCCAGGAAAGACAAGTCATGTTCTAAGTCTCACCATGGCAACGTTGGGCAGGACCCTGAACTCTGGGTCAGAACTCTGATAGTCAATGTCCTGTTTCTTCCTCTGCTTTCTGTATTAGCAAAATGGGAAAGGAACAGAGAATACTCTTTAGTCTTCACCTTGATCAGCTCCTCACTGTCTAGGGCATTATGGGAGAAGCCACACTACAAAGAAGACAACTACAGATGTACAGAGAACAGATCAGGTGAAGATCACTGCTTTTATCTCACCCCCAGCCAATACAGGTCAGAATGATATTCTGAAATAAAGGAAAAAAAACTAGGAATTGGCTACCACCCTCTTATAATACTCTTCCCCAACCAACAGCACAGAACTGGTAGGGTCTAGCCTCTCCTGTGTTGGAGTGTAGGAGAGAGGATGAGGAAGCATGGAGGTTCAGTGTTTAGATGAGGAAGAAATGGGGAATGGAGAAAGAGGAAGGGGAGGGAGACTGCTTCTTTTGTGGCAGGAAATCCAAGAGTCATTTGGGACCACCCAGGCAGCAGTGGTGTGGGTGGGGTATGCACGTGTGTGTCCTGGGGCTGGGGGCAGGCAGGCAGGCAGGCAGGCACAGAGAACATCTGCTCTGGACCCCAGGGCTGCCCTAGAGTGTGTATGTATGTGAGTGTCTGCAGAGGGCTGGGGGTAGGGTGGGGATGGTGTGTGGGAGCCCAATAGGCAGGCAGGCTCTAAGAAACATCTGCTCTGGATCCTAGGACTTGCCAGTATTTGAAATAACTCAAGAGTGTGAGACTCCAACCTGGTCCCTGCCTTTGGGTATGGGCCAGGGTTGGGGGAGGTCTAAAAAGCCCACAAAATGCAAATTTCCCAGGGAGGAACAGAGTGGAGTTTGATTCTTTCAAAGGGCTGCCATATGAAACCAGGCCTCAGGAAAGAAGAGCATCATGCTGAAATTATTAATAAGAAATCATTATTATTTAATGCTTCTTTAAGGAAGTAAGGAATTGGTCCTATGTGACTCTGGCTGTTGCCCCAAAAGTGTGGATTCTGTGCTGCTTTTCTATTAACTGGTTGCCAGGGGCCTGGGTACACGAGCCCTGCCTGAGGAAGCTTGGCCAGATGATTTACTTAGTTTCCCCAGCCTTCTAGCCCTAACTTTTCTGATTCTTGGTCAGATGCGATCTCTCCCTGCCTTCTCTTATACAGCACATCCTGCTTTGTATTATGTTGTAGCTATCCCAGAACACATTTTATTTTCCTTGCTACTGAAAGACAGGTCTTGTTTTAGTTGCCTTTGTAAACCCTGCTGTTCATGTCAAAAATACACATAGAAAGTTGGCAATAAATGCTAAATAAACACACACATAATGACAAATATTCTGTGCACTTATTCACAAGATCTACCATCTGCAGATGTCCACTGCAGATGTCCATTTACAGATGTGGGAGGGAACAGTGCTCCCAGATGCCCAGGTATACAGGTTTGGCCAGCAGGTCCCCCTGCAGCACCAGGGCCAGGCCTACTAGGGCTCAGTAGCCAGGTTCTTGCCTTTTCTTGTCTTGGGCTCACCATACCCAAGCAGCTATGGCCAGTGTCCACACACTCACCTTCTACCCAGAGCTGTTCCAGGTCTGTTTCAATAACAGCTACACGGAGACCTAGTGCCAGGGCTCCAAAGGCCAACAGTCCCAAGAAGAGCACTTTGCCACAGTGTCTCTGGATCCCGCAGCCCAGAGAGAAGAGCAAGCCCTGGAAGTAAGCACGAAGCCAGAGCGGAGCCTTCAGGCTCCCAGCTAGGATCTGGGATGGAAAGAGAAGGGTCAGCCAGGCATCACTGGAACAATGCATAAAATCCCTCCTCTCTCACCCCACATCCGCTCTGCCAAGCCCTAGCTTCTTGAGTTCTGGATGTAGGACAGGGAGCACCTACACAGACACCGGCCCAAACTTGGAAGATTTAATACCCCCCACCAGCACACACCTGAGGAAGGCACACATACACACACACACACACACACACACACACCCGTTGTCAGGTGGACACAGAGGTGACCTCACAGATGCACTTATTTTCACCGGCCAGATGAAGACGAGACACAGACAGACACAGACACACAAGGCATGCACACATACACACAAAACTTGCTCATCTGTGCTCTCACTTGTCTTCAGATACCCAATGACACTTGGCACTTAAAGACATCACACCTTTCAGAGGCCCGAGTGACAGACCTGGCCCCACTCTTCTTCTTCCAGCTTCCCCTCTACTCACCTGGGGAGCTATGGTTCGAGTTTGGGGTGTGTAGCTCGGGGGCAGCTCCCCGAGGGGCGACGGCTGAGCCATACTGGCGGGGATCGGGGCGCTCCCATAGGCTAGTCCGGCCCCTTATACTGCTGGGCCCCCCGTGGGGATTCAGTGGGGCCGCAAGGGCCCGGGCGCGAGTGAGGCTGCGGCGGGGGTGGGTGTGCGGCGGCGGCTGTGGGGAGCGCGGGACGGTGCGGGCCGGGGCTCGGCGCCGAGGCTCGCCCACTCGGTGAGCCGTGGAGCGCCGCGGCCGGAGGAGTGGGTCTCGCGTGCAGGCAGAACTGCTGGCCAGAGACGCACAGCACCGCTGGAGGTGGCTTCCGCAGTGCCGAGAGGTGGCTGGAGCTCCAGAAAAAGGGAGCGGGCCAGGGCAACGGCCTCCCATTGGCTGAGGGGCCGGCAAATTACCCGGAGCGGCGCGGCCGGATCCGCTGCTAGGTAACGGCGCCGCAGGGGGCGGGGCAGGAGACCACCCAGGCAGGGCCACCCCCAGCCTTGTCTCCCGCCCGCGCCCGGCCCGCGGGGTCCCCGGGGAGAGGAAGGGGGGGGAGATCCCCGAGAGGCGCCGCTCTGGCCAAGTGAAAGTCAGGAGAGGCGGATGCTGAGAAAGGGTGTCTGCTGGCCCTGTTAAGGCCACACTCTCCCTCCCCACCCCCTCAAACCCAGACTTCTTTTCACTCTCCCTGCTTCCATTCTTGTCCCCTTCAGTCCACTCTCTCTCCACTGAGGATACAGGCATCTAACGTGCAAATCTGATGACAGTTCCAAAGCAGAAGGTCCACTTGGAGCACAGGGCCCGGTATGATCTACAGCCTTCTCTCCCATAGTTCCCTCACACCCACCCAGTCAGTGTTCCTCGGCCCTGCAGAGCCACCTTAATTTCCCAAACATACCATGTTGTTCCAAGCAGTTCCTGCCTTCCCATGCCTTGTTGCCCTTTTGTTTTGGCAGATAATCTTAAGAACTGACTCAAATCAATCAATTACCCCTCTTTGAAGTCATCCTTGAATCATGCCTCCCTTCTGGCAGATGATTGCTTGTGTTCCTCATTACACTCAATTTATATATATTATTGCATTTATGACATAATAATTTATATACTTAAAAGTCAGCCTTCCTCAGTAGACAATAAGTAGGTGCTCAACAGTTGAGTGTGTCACTGAGAGTTGCCAAAACCAGGGTGTAAAAGGACTGGAAATAGGGAAGAATAGAGGGAACAGTCCCTCTATTAATCTTTCAACTATTGCATCTGAGTGTGCTGTTTCTGTCCAGTTCCAGTTCTTGACTGATAAACCCTGAGTGGCAGAGTAGGACAAAATCCACATTCCAATATATAAAGTTTTATATATTGGAAAGAAAAAAAGAATCTCCAATAAACTCATTATTCTAATACAACTACTATTATTTCTGGCCAATTCTTCCAGACTTTTTTTTTTATGATTACATCATAAATATTTCATGTTACTACATAGTTTTTGTAATCAATCACTTGGAGAATGTCCTTAGGACAGATTCCCAGAAGTGGGGTTATTTGGGTCAGAAAGTATGAACATTTTTATGGGTCTTGCTAAACATTCCCCAATTGCTTTTTTTTTGAGACAGAGTCTCCCTTTGTTGCCCAGGCTAGAGTGAGTGCCATGGCATCAGCCTAGCTCACAGCAACCTCAAACTCCTGGGCTCAAGCGATCCTTCTGCCTCAACCTCCCAAGTAGCTGGGACTACAGGCTTGCGCCACCATGCCTGGCTAATTTTTTCTATGTATATTAGTTGGCCAATTAATTTCTTTCTATTTATAGTAGAGACAGGGTCTCACTCTTGCTCAGGTTGGTTTCAAACTCCTGAACTCAAATGATCCACCCGCCTCAGCCTCCCAGAGAGCTAGGATTACAGGCGTGAGCCACCGCACCCGGCCCCAATTGCTTTTTGAAAATTCTTGCAAATTAACATCATCTCCAGAGCCTGTCCTGGAGAAAAGGAACATTTAGATTGAAAGAGTGAACACCTAACAGGTTTGCTACTTCCATTTGTCCCTTCGACCAGCAAAATGCCTGTGGAGGAACTAATATGTCTAGGATGGTGTTGGCCGAGTAGTAATTGTACATAAGAAGCAGCCTATGTGCATGGTACTTTCTTCCTCCCTATCGTAGAGAAATGGGTCCCACTGTGGACAAAGAAAGTATACCCCCAGCAAGTCTCTAGAGACAGCCTCTAAATTAGTCTATATGGGACCCTAGATTGCTCTTGGGGCTATAGCTAAAGACAGAAAGTGGTCTGGAATCAGTACTCATTGTCATCAGGACTACAAGTCCTGATGTGTTACATAGTTTTTTGGGGTGGGGGTGGGGACAGAGTCTCACTCTGTTGCCCTGGCTAGAGTGCCAGGGAGTCAGCCTAGCTCACAGCAACCTCAAACTCCTGGGCTCAAGTGATCCTCCTGCCTCAGCCTCCCAAGTATCTGGGACTACAGGCATGCATCACCATGCCCAGCTAATTTTATATATATATATATACATTTTTTTAGTTGTCCAGCTAATTTCTTTTTATTTTTTTAGTAGAGATGGGGTCTTGCTCTTGCTCAGGCTGGTCTTGAACTCCTGAGCTCAAAGGATCTGCCCGCCTTGGCCCCCCAGAGTGCTAGGATTACAGGAGTGAGCCATTCTGCCAAGCCTTAAGTAACTCTTGAGTTCTCCTTCCTTCTTACCAGACTTTGCACATAAGGTCCATGGAGAAATAGATTTGTAATAAACTGGGCCTTGGGACTATATTTCTACCACAGACTCATCACTGCTAATAATCGTGGCAAAGTCCAACATTTCTTTAGATGCTTCCAAGGCAGGGTCAGCCTACTGAGAAAACCTCTTGCTTTGTAGTCCTAAGACCAGTGCGGGAGAAACTGGTCTGCAGTTCTAGCCTTTCCAATGTAGGGCCTAGTGCCCTCTGGCTGCTCCGAGTTCCAAAATGACCTTTCTACTTTCCAGTAAAATGACTTCCTGAATACAGCTGAGCTCAATGAGAGCCAAAGCCACAGACCCCACATAATTAGGAAGGGATAGAGGTTCCTCTTCTCTTTCTGCAAGTAGCTTCTTTCACTGTGGAACATCTTATTTTATTGTCACTTCCACTGGACCTGGGTATGTGTTTTGGGCCCAAATCAGAAACATTCTCCAAATAACAAAGAAGAAAAGCAATTTAATTAAATTCATTATCACCAAGGATTTTAAATCTAATTGTTGATTCATGAGACAAATATGTCTCAGGGTCACTTATGTGTCCACTCCTTTGCTGAGCTCTGGGGTTGCAAGGTACCTACTTTTTAGTTTATAGGTGGAGCACAGAGACCACAGGAGAAACAACCCTGAGCTGGGGGTATTTAGGGAGGTTTCTAAAAGTGAGAAGAATTGGATGGAAGAGATGGGAGGATGATAGAATCCAAAAGTAGATATGGTTCAAGGTCTGAATCTTTCATTTATTGGTTGTGAGATCTTTGGCAAATCACATAATCTCTAATATTGACATAAGGATAAAATGAGATTATATATATATATATATTATAATATAACTATAATATACTACATGGCTGAGGAACAGTGCTAAGAAAAGTGAGGTGGTGTATACTCATATACATACAGTATTGGGGCAAGTGACCAGTTTGGCTTCAGGGAAGGGTCCATGTGGGAGTTAACGGAGGAGCCAATGTAGGCCTTGTTTTCCTGGCACTCTCCAGGCTTCTCACCAGCTTTTGGCTGGCTTCTGTTACCTGGGTTAGGCAGAGTCAATGACCCTGAAATGTGGAGGAGGGAAGTAAGGGCACTGGGCAGCCCTCAACCCCCATTACATGAAGGGGTCAACCCTGGGAAGGAATGCCCCTTCTCTGTGGGCAGCTTTAGGCCCATAGCACCTATCAAGTATTTGATGCCAGAGACTGACTGTAGCCAGAGATTAGAGAGTGGCCCTTCACTTTGAGTGTGGGGGAAGGAGAGAGGCTAAGAATCAAAGCAGCATCTTACCATGGCAGAAAGTCCCCTGATACAATCATCCTGGGTGGTGGCAGACAGCTCTGGCCAAGGACAGGTCAGCCTGGCCTTCAATAGGTGCTCTGCCCAGTCTCTTTCCCTCCTGGTAGGCTCTGCCAGAGCCAAACTTTCTAGACCTTCTGTCTGGGTGGTCCTTCCCTCCCAAATGGCCCTCCTCCTTCCTCAGACACATTTAACTGTTTAGAAAGAAGCATACAAATGACTAGTTTATGTACCTCCTCAGGGGTAAGAGATGGCTGTGAATAAAGGAAGTATACCCTCTGCAATTCTCTGGAAATAGAAACAGCTTCTAAACTAGGCTGTGCAGGCCCCTAGATTGTTCTTGGGGTCTACAGCTAAACACAACTTCCCTCCCTCTCCACTAGGTATGGAAGTAGGATAGAAATAGTAATATAGTGAAGGGCTAGGAAGAAGTTTGGCCTCTGGCCTTGAGAAATAGCTTGGAGAGCAATCTTGCCAGTCAATCTCCTTATAGGCTCAGGGAGCTCTTGCCAGCAGACAAGGGTGAGGTGTTACTAGAGGAGAGGGTTCCTGTAGTAGTAGCCATCAAATTTTGTCTGACCCAGCAAGCTTTGGGAACCCTGCTTCTCAGCACCTCCCCAGAGTCCTCCCTGATTTGGCATTAAAGGTCTCCTTTCTCTACTTCCCTCATTGAGTATCACTGGGAGAGGCAGGGCAGACCCTATCAACTCTTCTGCCTGCCTGGCTCTTCTGGCTTCTGTCCCATAGGGAGGTGGACAACTAGTAGATATTCAGTTACTCACTATGTTTCAGACATATTAAACCCCTCTGTAGCTGCTGCCAAAAATAAACAAAAACTGTCCCTGCTTTCTGGCAAATAGGGCAATGAGAAAAATCAAAGCATCCTGGGTACCCAGTCAGTCCTAAAGTTGTCAGAGATAATAGCAGCAGTGTTCTGAGCTGGGGGCTGCTGTCAGGTGGGACTCAAACTCAGTAAGGCTTTCCTTTGGGGAACCTTTACCTTTTCTGTTTTCTGCAGCTCTCCTTTCCTTGGTATGGAGGCTGTTTGATGGGCTTGTGCAAGGAGGAGGCAGAAGAGAGGTTTTTCCTCTACCTCACTGTCAGGGGTTCTAAGGGCTCAGTGGGAAAGGACAGGATGGGGTATAGCAGGGCTCTGGCACAGTTTCAGCAATCCCCTTTCCTCCTCCACCCCACCTTCTCGCCAAACCTACCCAGCTCCATCCCCCTTTTTGTGGTCAAAGAGCAATCTTCTGGCCTCTTGGGACACCCAGACCCTAAGGGCCAGAAAACGCTGAGAAAGAGGACAAACTGTGAGAATAAGAGGGGCCATTAGAAGTCAACCAGTCCTCGCCAGGTGCAGTGGCTGATGCCTGTAATCCAAGCACTTTCAGAGGCTGAGGCAGAAGGATCACTTGAGGCCAGGAGTTTGAGACCAGTCTGGACAACATAGTGAAACCCCATGTCTACAATATAGATTTAGAAACTTAGCCAGGTGTGGTGGCTCATGCCTGTTTGGGAGGCTAAGGCAGGAAGATTGCTTGAGCCCAGGAGTTCGAGGCTGCAGTGAGCTAATATTTTAGCACTGCACTCCAGTCTGGGCAATAGAATGAGACCCTACCTTAAACAAAAATTCACCCAGTCCGGTTGGGTGTGGTAGCTCACATCTATAATCCTAGCACTCTGGGAGGCCAAGGTGGGTGGATTGTTTGAGCTTAGGAGTTTGAGACCAGCCTGAGCAAGAATGAGACACTGTCTCTACTAAAAATAGAAAAGAAATTAGCTGGACAACTAAATATATATATACAAAATAAGCCGGGCATGGTGGCACATGCCTATAGTCCCAGCTACTCAGGAGGCTAAGGCAGCAGGATTGCTTGAGCCCAGGAGTTTAACGTTATTGTGAGCTAAGCTGATGCCACGGCACTCTAGCCCAGGCAACAGAGTGAGACTCTGTCTCAAAAAAAGAAAAAGAAAAAATTCACCCAGTCCTAACTCTCTTATTTTGTAGGTAGGGAAACTCAAGAGTCAGAGGACAGGCAGTGATTTGGCCAAAACCAAAAAACACTGGTGGTCAGGTCTTCTTTCATTCAGCCCAGGACTCAATCTCCAGCACCTTCCAGGCCCCACTCATTTAATTTCAGTTCCAAAGAGGACTGCCTTGGGCACTATCACAGTTCCTTATCCCTACACCTCTTCCTCAGTCCTACGGTTTCAACCACTTCTGCTAGGCCATTTCAAATCCTGCAGGATTAGGGCAAACTTTCAGGAGCCTTGTCCTGACCAGTGGGAAGAATGTGGAGCTCCAGGGCAGCCAAGAAGGCTGACAGAGGTGGAGATCCCCCAGGGTAGGAATGCTCATCTAGTCTCTCGCAAATTTAATGACTAAGATCAGGCAAGATTACTCACGTAAACCTGAGAGCCTTGAGATTTTTGAAGCAATGTAGAAACCAGTATTTCAAATCAATCTTCATAATTACTGCCACCCACAGAGAGGACATCAAGAGAAACCTTTACTTTGATAATTCTAGGAGGTGAAATCTCACCCCAGAAGCACTTTTATCTTCCACCAAACACCTGCAGGTTGTAAAAGCAGTGCAGGGAGAGACAGGAGCAGAGTGAACCTGAGTTTGGGGGGTAGGGTGGGGGAAATATGGATCGGACTCTAGAAAGGCTGTGAATATGGAAATCTAATTCCTCAATTATCTGAAGCAGGAGAGTCTGTATAATTAGGATATAAAGGAGTACAGCTGGGGAAGAGTCAGAAAGAATTTCAAACCACAAGGGTTCTTGGCTCTTCCTTTCCGAGCTGGGGAGGGTTTTGGCTTAGCTCAGACCATGGTCTCAAATCATGGCTCTCCATGCTCTTGCCTCAACTAAAACCTATAAGGAGAGGCTTGTTGGCTAGCCAGGGGCTGCCTCCTGCTTGCTTTGTGTCTCTAAGGGGCAACAGTTGAGCTGAGGAAAGTGGCTAGAGGTTGGGAGGATAGGGAGTCAATGGTAGGTGTGGAGGGTAGGGCTGGGGATGGGGTGGTACAGGGGTTGAGAATCTGTGTGGCAGGTATGGGAGCAAAGAATGGTAAGTTCTGGGCTGATGCTCAGAGGTGGTATTGACAGCAGCTAGGCCTATGGGTCTACAAAGCCTGATTTGTGTCAGGGACTGAAGTACTCCCAGGTCCTTTTGGGGTGTGAGATGCTTTATGGACTGGGTGGGTCAGCCCATCAGAAAGTAGCCCTCCTACAAGCTTTACTATTGGACAGCTGCTGCTCCTGTCTGATAACCTTGGTACATGAGAGTTAGGTCATTGTGTCTGTTCTGTTCCACACACTTGCTCTAGATGATCTTTATCACGTGTCCCATGAATATATACTGCGTACACCTGCAGCCCACCTGCTGCGGAGATTGAACTGCTCCACAAGTCTCCAGCATGCCTTTGGAAGCCCTTCTTTATTGGGAAATAAATACAGAATCAAATAGGTGGGCCGGCCAACATCTGTAGCTTTAGGGAACAAAAGGAAGGAGTTTGATGTGCTCAGAACTCAGATCTCCATGAGCTGGTCATTCCCCACGATCACTTCGTTCACTCGTTTAGCTACAAAAGAAAAAGAAAAGGTTTTCTGAGAACTGACAGCAAAAGATGTCATTTCAAACCAACTGCTTCTAATTCTGTGTTCACAAACATTTATGCCTCTCCTATTGTGGCTCTGCTCTTTGAGAAGCTCTTGGGAATACAACGAGGCTATGAGAAAGATAGCATCTTCCTACACAGGAGGATGGGACTGACTCTATAGCTGGCTTTGGTGAGGCTTTACACAGGAGAACTGGAACTGGGTCTTAAAGGATGGATCGAGTTTTCACAGGCATTCCAGGCTGTTAGAGTGGCATGGGCAAAGACAGTGCAGATGTGAGAAAGGGGAACATGAAATACTGTAGTGTGGCCAGAGGATATGAAATGAGGAGAAAAAGATTAAGAAATGAGGCTAAAAGGATAAATGGACATAGTTGAAGAAGGGGAGATACCTCATATATAATATAGAAATAATACCACCTAATACATAGAGTTGTTATGAGAATTCAATGAGTTAAAGGATAAATGAGTGCTCAATAAATAGTGGCTATTATTATTTTTGTAAAGTCCAAACACATAGGCCCTCCATGATCTGATCCTTGCCTACCTCTCCAGCTTCATTTCCCACCATTCTCCCTTTACAACAACAAGCCATACTATTTTGTGCCTTTAGACCTTGGCATATGCTATTCCCTCTGTCTAGAATGCTTCCCCCCATTTTTTCCCATAGCACTGTTATTCACCTCAAATGCCCTAATCTGGTACTTCTAATATGTCATGCCTTCCCTTTTGAATTATCCATTTCCTGCTTTGTGAAACCACTAAACCTAATACATATCTCTATCTCTACATCATTATATCATGAGGGCAGGTAAGGGACACTGCAGTTACGAATATATCCAGGTATCTAGAATAGCTACTACCACATCACGATTTTAGAAGTTTTGGGTAATGACAATGATTGGGTATGGTCATGTAAGTGGAGACCTAAAGATGAAAAGGAGGTGCAATTGGTATAAAAGATGAGGAAATTATGAATGAAGCTAAGAGACTGGATAGTTCATTGATAAATACGTTTAAGCTGTCCAAAATGTTGGGAGAAAGTAAGGGGGGAGAAGAAGACTGAACCAGGGGCTAAAGCCCTCAACAAATTTAGGGAAGTACCCTGGAAGCTGGCCAAAGATGGGGTGAAAGGTAAGAATAACTACAGAAAGCTTTCAAGGAAAAAGAGCTATAGAAAGGAGGCAGTGAGCCAATGGTCTGGAAGGGGCAGGGAGATAGGGGCATGCTACCTGCCTCTTGCCTGAAGGTATGGTGCAGATTAGGGAACAGGAGGCTTTTCCAGTCTTCTATTGGTTCAGACTGAAAAGCCTAACCATTTGGCTGAAAACTGTTTCTGGCCTAGCTTCTCATGGCCTATAAAGGTGTAACACCTTTTTTGCTACACATGGGAGGAGCTCAAGTGTGACCCTGATAGATAAGGCAGAAAATTTGGCTCTTCTGAGCCTCTACTTCAGCCCTGGAAGGTTTTGGTTTAGTAAAATGAAGATCTCTGATGATAGGAGACAGTTTGACAATGAGAGATGTTTGCATCTATTCATTCTGCTGGGAGCCTCCTTCTGCTCTGTCAATAAAATGTGGGTTTCTGACTGAGGCTTTGGAAACATTGAGATTTCAGATGTGCCTCATCTTCTGCCCACCTTTCCAGCTTTGTTTCTTGCTATATCTCCCTTTTACCCTATACTCTAGATTTTCCAAATGATTTGCAGTTTTTAACCCACTGGGCTTTTTGCCTTTAGGTGTTTGTATGGGTTGCTTTTTGCTTGAAAGGTTCTTCCCCTTTGTATATTTGGTAAATAACCAAAATTTTCAAGATTTACCTTTAATTCCTTCAAGATGGTGTTCCTGCTTCTTGTGCAAGTCCTTAATTAACCCTGTCAACCTCCTACCTAATAAAATTTTACTGTACTTATTTCTTTACTCATCTGTCTTCTCTATAATAGACTATGAACAATTAGGCAGCAAGAAGTACCATAAAGATGAATAAAACCCCTAGCCTACCAGTGCCTAGAATGGTAGGCAGTAATTAATTTGTTGAATGTGTGTGTTTTAGGGGTTATGTGAGAGCACAGATGTAGGAAAAGGAGCATGTATGGAAGAGAAGGTCTCTAGTCTCTTTGTCAAGTATAATTGATACATCTGGTACATTACAACAAGGGGGTCTGGGGGTCCAGAGTATCCTTAGGCTTATTTCTCTTTCTCTAGCAGAAGACAAACTTAGGTCTAGGTCTTTCACAAAGTTTGTCATTACAGCACTATGTTGGACAGACACGATCTCATGTGGGAGGAAAAGGATAAGAAAGGGAGTAAGAAAAGGAGACAGTGCAGAAAAGGAAAGACATTCTGAGTCAGAACAGCTTGGATTCTAATTTGACTTTAAGCAAATATTTGTCTGGCTTTGAGCAAATTATTTCATGTCTTTGGGCTTTAGTTTCCTAACAAAGTTGTGGATCTTCAATAGAATAACTAACATAAAGAGCCCATCATAGTGCTTTGGTTAGTATTAAACAGAAGTTACAGAATAGGGCTAGGTCTTGCCTGTGTACTCCCGTCCTAGGAGATACTTCATAACCATCTTTTTCTTTCAATGAGAAGAATGGGGAGATGGGCCAGATAGTGTCAGGCTGCTAAATTCCCTATGGCTGGGGTTGGTCCTGGAGTATGATTGTCAATCAGGCTCCACCCCTAAGGTAAGACTGACCAAAAAAGAACAAAGGAAATGCTTCTCTGGCTAGCTTCCCAGGACACCTCCAAAAGCTCCTCTTTACTCTTTCTCTCTCTATACCTGCGTGTCAGCTTCATCACCTCTCATCTAGCCTCTTACATTTGTTGTTCTTCATCCAATTTCTTCCTAGTTTCCAGGGATACTGGGCTGTTCTGAAGACAGCCCCAGTTCCAATTAACATTCTTCTTGGATCTCAGTGCTCCAGAATGAGGTGTCTGGCTGGGGAAGACAACCCTTTGTTCAGCTCTGTCAGGCTCCAAATAAACACCTCAGCCTTTTCCGGCCCTCCCTACTCTCCCTCTTCCCTCTGGGTCTGCTCTTGGCCTGGAAGTGAGAGAATACCTTGCTCACTGGGCTACAGAGGAGAGATACATGGCATGTTGGGGGTAATTTTCATGGACATGCAGTAAGTTGGAGGAAACCTGCAAGGGAGCAAAAAGTAGAACTAGTGCTGCTTGGCGGGATGGGAATAGGCTCTAGTAAACACACTGGAAAATCTCTAGGCTGGAATCAGATTGGGAAAGATTCCAAAGGGAGGAGTACAAAGGAGGATGGTGAGCTCAGAAAAAACAAATGGAATAGAAGGAAAAACATGTCACAGATGAAAAGCTGCACTGGGAAACTGGGAAGGATTCCTGCTAGCCAGGAGGACTTGACCTATGTCAAACATATGTCAAGACTCTGACCTAAGTCAGGTCTACTTTCATGGCCATAGGACTGATCACTGTGGTCATAGGGAAGAGATCCAAGTTCTCTCACTGAGAGTGAGAAGAGACTCAGAGGAAGCATCCAATTAGAGTTTTCAGGATTTGACTCTTTCTACTGCTTGAGCAGGAGGTCAAACTTGGCTGCCAGGAGTTTTGCCAGAGATAATGACTAAGAGTGCTGGGGCAGGGTGAGAAAAGCCAGAGTTGTTATGAAATGGCTTGTTCTCTTGGTAGTACTAGATGACAGCAGAGATGCCTACACAGGGTTATGAGAGTCACGTGTTGGGAGAAAAAGACTACTATGGATGTGGTACCTCTCTGGTATGAAAATAATTGGAATTTGGAGAGGGGACTGCATTACTTCTTAAGATGAATGTTTTTTCCTGAAATCCCTCCATGTGAGGAAGACTGACTGAGGACTTTGTCATTTATTTAACTCTTTGCTGATAAGGACTTGTTGGTGTTTGTCTAAGTACTCCATAGTAATAGGTCTTGAATGCTATACTGATGGCTTGTAATTTGCTTTTCCCATATGGCTTAGTCTCAAAGAAAAGTGATAGTGGAAACAGGCAACTGGCCAGGGAGTGCCTGTGACAGGAAGGCACTGGCCTTTGTCCATCCAGCACAGGATAGAGAACAGAAAGTGGTGGGACTGTCCAGTTTAGAGTCCAGAGTCCAGATGACTTCCCTGGCCACCTCTCCTTCAGGAGGACCATTAAGAGGTCTCCTTGCTAAAAAGTGAACACATAGTGTTAGTTAAGACCAGAAAGGCCAGGAGATGCTAAAGCCCATCTTATGATAATTGCAACCATCTCACAGAGGCCTTTTTTGGAACTTTCTGCCCTAAAAAAACCCCAAAATATGCTTTATGGATCCAAAATTCATTCATTCATTCTTTTTTCCCCCTCTCTGATCATCTATTAATACTATAAACCAGGACCTGTTCTGAGAACTAGGGATACATATAATTAAGACAATCCTTGGCCTTGAGGATCTAAGTCTGGTAGGGAAGGAAGATTCATAGATAACTGCTATAACTTTATGATACATACTTTAATAAAAGTGTGGCAAAGTCCAGGGATGCAGAGGAAGGCATGCTCAGCTCTACTGTGAGGAGTCAGGGAAGGTTCCATAGAGGAGAAAACACTTGTGCAGAGAGGAAATCCAGAGAGAAGGTGTGTGCAAGAGCACAGTGTGTATGAGAAATTCTAAGTGCCTTGGTATGTTTAAGGAGTAGTGTGTGCTCCTTAAAACATTTAACTGTATGTAATTCTCTTCTGCTTCGAAGATATGAAGGTTTGAAAGTAAGAAAATATAAAATAAAAATTTAAATAAAAAATTAAATTAAAAAACCCCACATTTAACTGTATGTAATTCTCACAATAATCCTCCAAGGTAGGTATTACTGTCCCAATTTTTTGTTAAGAAAATCTGAGGCTTAGAAATAAAAAAATTGAACTGAACCTAGTGCACAACCAGTGAGTTGCATGGCTGGGATGTGAACCCAGGTCTGTTTAATTCTAAAACCCAAAAGGGGGGCATATGACTTTAAAAAAGAGAAAAAGAGGAAAAAAACCTAAAGAAGGCCTCTGTTTACTGGGGAGAAGGAAAATGATGTGGCTTCTACAGAATTGGTGGGATTAATTCCTTCAGCAATTCCTCTTCCCACCTATTTTAGTTTTAGGAATAATTTCAAGAGCAATCAGCCCATTTTATTGTTCTTGAATATTGCCTACATTTTGGTTAAAAACATTCAGTCAAATTAAGAACAATTCAAATTTGCCCTGCCCAGCAGGGAAACTCTGGTCTCTGGTATGTCTTTCAAGCACTATAGGTCTTTTTATAGGCTACAGAGCAGAGTAAGCTAAACAGCACAGCTTACAGACTCACCTCTAAGCCATTGAGAACAGCTCAGTGTTATATCCCACCAACCTTCTACCAGGCCAGGAATCTGTGGAACTATCTCCCTTAAATATCAGGTCAAATGAAGTGCTCACAGACTTCAAGAGGCCAGAGCTAATTCTAGAGCTCATGCTGCATTAGTGGCCCTTCTGTCTCATGTCCAAAAACCATGGTAAAGTACTGGTGCCAATCTGGGCCATAAGAATTATTGTCATGTATTCAATTTTTTGATAGCAATGCTGCATGCATGTATGAGTTTATCTACAAGACAGATTTCTAGAAATGAAACTGTTAAGTCAAAGTTAAAAAAAATTGACAATGACATCATCTTTCTCTTCAAAGAAGGCTTTATCAATTTATGTTCTAACCTGCAGTATATGCTCTTTCTTGTTTCCTACATCCTCACCAGCATTTAGTATTATCAGTGATAGTGTGATAGGTAAAAAGTGGCATCTGTGATTGTAACTTGGGCTCTGGTTTACCTTTGGCTTCAATCCTCTGGCCACTTCCAATCAAGCAGTTTTTGATGTCTGCTCCCTTCTCAATCACAGCATTGTTGCAGATGACGCTGCCTTGGATGTTGCTTCTGTAACACAGTAAACAAGTTAGGGTGTACCTAGGGCTCTCATCATTCTCTTCACCACTACTGGCTGGTTGTTCTGGCTTCTCCCTAGTGTAGGAACAGCTGGTCAATCCAGTTAATGGACTACAAGCCTCAAGTTATTAGAAGACAGAATGGTAGGCCAAGGGAGAACCTGGCTTTAGAGAAGTCGAGAATTGGGATATACTCATAATGATCTTTCCTTAAGGCCCGAACAGATATTCTCACTTCAGTTCTTTAGGACCCTAGATCTAGAGGTCTAAATTCCATCCAAACTCTTCTCCTTTGGTCTAGGGGTGGAAGCTGGGGCTGATCCCTAGGCTGACTCATTACTCTTGCTTCTCATTTAGGAATATATACCAAATTTCATTTGAGGCTCTGAAATTATGAATCTTCACAGGAGGTCAACTATGGAAAAAATGGGTTCTCCACAGTTTTCACCACAGATTGGTTGGTTAATCAAAGCCATACTCATTCAGGAATAAAACAAAATATTTTAAAAGAGATGGAATCTTGCTATGTTGCCCATGCTGGCCTTGAACTCCTAGGGTCAAACAATCCTCCTGCCTCAGTCTCCCAAGTAGCTAGGACTAGAGGTGCATACCATTGTACCCAGCTAAAAAGGATATTTTTTTTTTTTTTTTTTTTTTTTTGAGACAGAGTCTCGCTTTGTTGTCCAGGCTAGAGTGAGTGCCATGGCGTCAGCCTAGCTCACAGCAACCTCAAACTCCTGGGCTCGAGCGATCCTTCTGCCTCAGCCTCCCGAGTAGCTGGGACTACAGGCATGCGCCACCATGCCCGGCTAATTTTATATATATATATCAGTTGGCCAATTAATTTCTTTCTATTTATAGTAGAGACAGGGTCTCGCTCTTGCTCAGGCTGGTTTTGAACTCCTGACCTTGAGCAATCCGCCCGCCTCAGCCTCCCAGAGAGCTAGGATTACAGGCGTGAGCCACCGCGCCCGGCCTAAAAAGGATATTTTTAAAACCAGCTCCATTCCATGTAAAAGACTATTCCAGATCCTAAAGTACATTCCAAAGAGCAGCATCACTGGGTCTTAGCATTTTAATGAATTTAAAGAGCACTTCCTAGTTCCTGAAGAATGGCAGGTGGGAGGAAAGGTCCTCTTGAAAATCATCACTTACATTTATTATACATTTATTCTATGCCAGGTACAATGCTAAATATATATTCTGTGTACATTTTCTTTTAATTTTAAAAACGTGCCCAGCCTGGATTTAAATTCCTGGCCTCAAGCAATCCTCCCACCTCAGCCTCCTGAGTAGATGGGACTATAGGTGTGTGCCACTGCACCCAGCTCTCTATGTATATTATAGGAGTGACTTTTATAAATCTAGCCATTTCATCTGAAAAATCACCCAGGTAGTGTAAAAGAGAAACAAAAACATTCTCAGTGTCGATCAATCATTTTGGTATGGGAAATTTATGGGATGGGGTTTTTGGACATGAGACAAAAGGGCCACTAATGCAGCATGAGCTCTAGAATTAGCTCTGGCCTCTTGAAGTCTGTGAGCACTTCATTTGACCTGATATTTAAGGGAGATAGTTCCACAGATTCCTGGCCTGGTAGAAGGTTGGTGGGATATAACACTGAGCTGTTCTCAATGGCTTAGAGGTGAGTCTGTAAGCTGTGCTGTTTAGCTTACTCTGCTCTGTAGCCTATAAAAAGACCTATAGTGCTTGAAAGACATACCAGAGACCAGAGTTTCCCTGCTGGGCAGGGCAAATTTGAATTGTTCTTAATTTGACTGAATGTTTTTAACTAAAATGTAGGCAATACTGGGATGGGAAATTTATGGGTTTTTTTCGTACTTTTTTTTTTTTACATGGTGGCCATTGCAGTCCCAAGTGACCACTGCTCAGGAGCTTTATGTTTTTATGAGACTGACGCACTACCTACTGCACTAACGAGGCACCTAGCTTTATGTTTTTAATTAGAATAAAACCTTCCTAGGCCAGGCATGGTGTCTCACATCTGTAATCCTAGCACTCTGGGAGGCCAAGGCTGGGGAATTGCTTGAGGTCAGGAGCTCAAGATCAGCCTGAGCAAGAGTGGGATCCTGTCTCTACTAAAAATAGAAAAACTTAGCCGGGTGTCATGGTGGGTGCCTGTAGTCCTAGCTACTTAGGAGGCTGAGGCAGGAGGATTGCTTCAGCCCAGGAGTTTGAGGTTGCCATGAGCTAGGCTGATGTGACAGCACTGTAGCTAGGGCAACAGAGCTGCCTGGGCAATAGAGCGAGATACTGTCTCAAAAAAAAAAAAAAAAAAAAAAAAGAAAAAACCTTCCTAGATGATTCTGGGAGTACCATTTTTATCTCTGATGCAGTAATAATCACAACCACATTTTATAGATGAGGTAACAGATTTAGAGCATTTAAACCATTTACCTTTTTAAAACCACATTACTGTTTCTTTTTTTCTTTTTTCTTTTTTTTGAGACAGTCTCGCTTTGTTGCCCAGGCTAGAGTGAGTGCCATGGCGTCAGCCTAGCTCACAGCAACCTCAAACTCTTGGGCTCAAGCAATCCTACTGCCTCAGCCTCCCGAATAGCTGGGACTACAGGCATGTGCCACCATGCCTGGCTAATTTTTCTCTATATATTAGTTGGCCAATTAATTTCTTTCTATTTATACTAGAGACGGGGGTCTCGCTCTTGCTCAGGCTGGTTTCGAACTCCTGACCTCAAGCTATCCACCCGCCTCGGCCTCCCAGAGTTTTAAGATTATAGGCGTGAGCCACCATGCCCGGCCCACATTACTGTTAAATAACAGATTTAATCCAGGTCTGCCTGACTCCAGAATCTGTCGTTCATTAATAATGTAATACAAAGAAATTAAAAAGAGAAAAGACTGGAGGAAGTATAGAACTGCTCAGTTGCTATTCTGAGATGGCTTAGCAGAAGGAGCTCTTTCCTAACAAGGGAATATTCAATACTCCTGAGTCAGAAATGATAAGAGTAAAAAATCGGTAGTTGAAGGGGAGGAGGAGGATAGGAAGGTATAAGCACTCTTTTAAACAAAACAAAACAAAACAAACCAACTAAGGAAAAATCCTCAAACAACCCAGGAGGAACGGGGGTAGGGGGTGGGAGTGGGGTGGGGGGTGTAGGAAATAAGACATTCCAAGGACTGAAAACACTGAAGCACACACCATTAGAAAAGATCCTTCCTAAGTGCCAAAACTTAGTAAAATGCAAAAAGGAATTCTAGCACTTTATGGCATTCCAGAGTCTTCTTTATCTCTATTCTTCTAGAAGGTTAAAGCCTGCTGGAAAGTAGCAAAAGGCCAAAGCCATAGCACCTCTGTGGTGTAGGCTAGAGAGATAGCACTAGTTTGCTTTTTGGCATAGGCTCAGGATACACTAAGTGGGTGGGCTTTAAGGGACCTTCCAGAGGTTTCCCACTTGCCTAACTTTGCAAAGTGGTCCAGTTAGGGTAGTTCCTGTTCCTTGGGGGAAATTCACCACCAAAACGATAAGGAAGTATAGAAAGCCTTAGAAACAGAGGCTCTGGGAACACAGCTGGCTTGCAATTTATCACTGAAAAGTCTCTTTCTTTTTCTAAGGTGGTAGTAGGGGTATGCTTCCTACTCATTTAAGAGTTTAAGAGCCTAAGAATGCATGCTCTGGAGCTAGGAAAGAGGTAAACATAGTCAGCAGACAAAAAACAGCCAACAGGAACGCAAGCAACCATAATTAGAGACAATTAAATGTCTATTTTGGAACCTGGGATATAAGTGGGAACTGTTTCTAGAAGGAAGAGGCAGGAATGACTGAGGTCAGATTTCCACAGCAACAGATAGGTTTTCCTTATGTTTAGCAGGTCTGACTGAGGTCTTCAAGAACCTCCCATATTGGTTGTCTTATCTAGTTAGTTAGTTGATTTTACGTATGTATGTATGTATATTTGTTGGTTAGTTATGACAGGGTCTCCCTCTTTGCCCAGGCTGGAGTGCAGTGGTGTGACCACAGTTCACTGCAGCCTCCAACTCCTGGGTACAAGCTATCCTCCTGCCTCAGCCTACCAAGTAGCTGGAACTATAGGAGTATGCCACCATACCCAGCTAATTTTTGTTTTTTATAGAGACAGCATCTCACTATGTTGCCCAGGCCGGTCTCAAACTCCTGACCTCAAGTGATCGTCCCACCTTGGCTTCAAAAAGTGCTGGGATTATAGGTGTCAGCCACCATACCCGGCCTTATCCAGTTTATGTGTAACTCTTTTTGAGACACATAAACTACTATTGTAGAGTCTGCAGACATGATAGGGAAAAATAGGTGGGTTGACGGAAAGCTGGTGGCTCTCCTGAGGCTCCTGCTCAGTGCATCTGTAGAAGGCTTTGAGATGAACACCTGAGAACAGCTTGCTGAATTTCAAGCTCTTTTCTGACCATTTGTCTCCTCAACTATTTCCCAGGATCACTTCTGTGGTCAGAAATCACCTCCATTAGGAAGGCTGAGGGATTCTGGAGAAATTTCAACCCAACACATCTTTCCCTCATCCAGAAAGAAACTCCAAGATCAAGGATTTTACTGGAAGTGTGACTTCTCATGGTAGAGGGGATGGACAGATAGGACTATGTCAAACAAACCTTCTCTGGGTTGTCAATCCACAGCAAGGACTGTGCTTTTTTTTGATTAGTGTCGAAGGAAGGAGGAGAGGTGAGTCCTTGTTGCCCAAAAATAGAACTTGCCCCAATACCAGAACTATTCTTTTTTGAGACAGAGTCTCACTTTGTTGCCCAGACTAGAGTGAGTGCTGTGGCGTCAACCTAGCTCACAGCAACCTCAAACTCCTGGGCTCAAGCAATCCTACTGCCTCAGCTTCCCAAGTAGCTGGGACTATAGGCACACGCCACCATGCCCAGCTACTTTTTTATACATATACACTTTTAGTTGTCTAGCTAATTTCTTTCAATTTTTTTTAGTAGAGACAGGGTCTCACTCTTGCTCAGGCTGGTT